AGCCCTCTCCCACTTGCATGTTTCTTCTATCTCTTGGTCTTGAACCACGCGATCAGATTTATTAAGCGTTGCGCGTTTTACGTTATTCTTTTATTACTTATGACTCAGGATATTTTCTTTTATTATTTGTAATTACTTTTAATAAGAATAAAATATCAAATAAAAATGCTTTTACTCCTCTCTTTTTTTTTTTTGATTTTATGTAATGATAATTTTTCAAATAATTATAATTTCATAAAATTCAAAACAAATAAATAATAAATAAAATAAGATTTAAGACATTTATCTCTTAATTAAACATTTAGATTCTAAATTCATCGGTTTAAAAAATTATATTTAATTTTTTAAAATACGTTTACAAAATCTTATATAAGAATACATCAAATTGAAGAAAAAAGAATTATGTAATTTTATTGAATATTGTTTTTCGGAAACAGGACAGTTTAATATACTATAATGATAGGAATAAATGAAATGATAGAATATCTGTTTGTAATTTATATGCATGATATGCAATATAGTTTGAAGGTTAAACATTTTTTTTTTATTGAAGAGTAATATATGTTTACAAATTAAAGGACAAAGGTTAAATAGAATCTTAATGCGCGCATTAAAAAGTTTTGTAGAGTTTCAAAAGTTCGGCTGTAGGGCATAATGATGAAATATTACGTTCCTGCTTTTCTTGCGCATGCACAACAATGTACTACATCGTTATAGGGTCGAAATTCCCGTAAACGGTTCCGTAAATTTCGTCCTCGACGAAATTTATATTTCATCTCGTACAACAGAGAAGGGGCAATACAGGAAAAGAGAAAGAAGCAAATTATATTAGAAGAATCGAGACAGAGAATAGATGGATGAGGGATAACGTTTCAAGAGGAAGCAGGAAAGAAACGAATAAAGGAGAAGGGAGAATGAGTTACCACATACTATGGGTCGATACTCTAGCATTAGCTCGATGTTCGGTACTAGTGTACTTGTACATCTGAGTACATCTGCACCAAGAAATGCGTTTGACTCATCGCAAGTGCGAAGAAAGAGAGAGGGTTAGTGCACTTAACGATGCCAAGGGCTACTGCACTTGTGAATGAAGATCGAAGTTTAGTTTTAGTTTTTTTGCAAAATATAATATCTGCTTGCATTTACATATATATTTTAAGCGCTTTCAAATGTTATTTTGTATTTATGTCAAAGATAAATATATCTAAATGTATATATATATATATATATATTTTTCGATAATTATATAAGACGAAAATTATTATAACACTTTCTCTATTTTTTATAAATATTTTTCATACTAAGAAGAAATATATGTTTTTTTTTCATAATTCAAAAAAAAAATTATAAAAAAACAAAATCACATATTTTTTCTTGTTAATAAAATTTTACTATGTACATATATGATCTTTTGTTTTCGCTGACGCCATCCTGGAGAGCGCATCAAATTTCATCCTGTTTTCTACTTTATCTACCTATTTTTTTCTACCTTATCATAAAATCATAAAGGATATTTATCATAAATTGCTTAAATTTTTATCAGATATTTAATACATTGATACAAATTTAATGTCATTTTTATAATATGAAATGTATTCGAAAATTCATGCAATTTATTCTATTAGTAAAAAAAAAATATATATTTTGAACGTAACTAAATTATAGAATTTTCTACATTAAACATCGATGAAATTCCAACGATAGATTATCTTTTGTTTTAACCAGTTACTGACTCATTCACAATCAGAAGCAGCTAGGAATGTAGATATACTTATAGATACATCTTGTTTTCTTAGTAGAGGGTGAATATACACATTTCTTTGAAGAAAGACAATTATTTTAAATGTTCTCAAAATGTTACATAGAGAATTTATAAATTTATAAATAATACATAATAATATATAATCTGTATACATAGTTGTATACATAATTGTATATACTCTTATATATCTACAAATAATTGTAACAAAAAAAAATTAAATTTCGTTCTTTTTTAGAATGTATTAAAATGTTTTGAAAAGATTTAGATATTAATATATTCAAATCGAATAATATCACACATTAAATAACAGATTTTAAAGAAGAAATTACTTGGTAAATCTATGATTGTTACTATTCTTATCGTTTTTAATACATGTGAACAAAGTCTGCAATATCCTTTTTTTGCGTCATTTAGTCACGTTTTATTCCGCTGAAAGTGCTGTAGCATGTATGATACATATGTACCAAATCAAATAATATATTTATACTGATCCGATAAGTATATCATAAATTAAATTACTAAATATTTTTTTTCGTGAGAATATTTTTTTTACTGCGAATATATTACACATAGCAAATCGAATAATGTACTTTTCATTGATATCATTTATATAAATAATTAAATATAATCAGGGATGTTCTGTCAAGCCAATTTTTACGTAATTGATCTATCTTTTGTATTCTATTTTGAGAGAAGTCTAGAACTTATTGCTACATTAATTACATTGTGCATTAAATTATATGACAAAAACAAATAATAACAAACTAATAGTTTCATATTGATTTTCAAAAATTTTATATTATTTTTATATGTTAATATAAATGTTTAAATCTGATAAATAACATATATAAATCAAATAGAAATATACATAGTAAATTTTGAAATTTTTAAATCAAATAACAACAATTTCAATTTTCTTTGAAATTTTATAGATTAATCAAGAAAAATTAATCATAGAGACTATAATTTTCTTAATAATTTTATATAGAATCCGTTTCATCTTGATATGAATCTTGTCTTATATCTAGACTAGATATAAATACACGTGTCTTATATCTGGCTGAATACAAATACAATATATAAGAAAAAAGTGTATAGATATATTTATTAGAATCTTATTTATCATAATTTTTATCAATTTTTATAATATTTTAATTTTTAATAAGAGATATTTATATTATCATTTATATAAATTTATTTGATTATTTTTTTCAAAAGTTTTTTATCTTTTAAGTTATTCAATTTGTAGCGAACTATTAGTTTCAGAGTAAATACACACGTCCATCTACAATTCCAGGAAAATAAACTTTATAGATACTTAGAGAAGAAAGTCTCGACTCTCTACATTCCACATCTTTGATTACAATCATATTATTGCATATTTAGATACCATTTCCTCGCAGCTACGAGTTTAATCGAATTATTCTCAATGTTCAAAGTCACTCAATTTATCAATCTCAAAATATAATCTCGGAAAAAAATAAATTGTCGTTTCGATCAAGATAGATCCTTGATTTTGAAACGACAAATTACAATAATATATTTATGTTATATCGTATTTTACCACGTATCTTTGATGTTAGGACGATTATCGAATTTTTATAATCAATTTGATTAAAATTCACTCTTGAGAGTCTGTCGTGATCTAACTGTGCTCTGATAGTAAATATCTACGTAATTCGAGCTACAATGTTCAGTACAACTGTACTTGATTTGACATCCGCATAAAAGATTATTTCTCTTGACATTAGATGTATCAGAACAAAAGATTTGAGCATTTTTATCTTAATAAAATAATTTTAGATTTATTTGTTATTTATTAGTTTATTGATTATTTAAACATGATAACTTTAGCTTTATATATTATATAATATTTTAATTTTATATATAATATATAATATATAATATATAATTTTATATATATTTTCAAATCAAGTTCCTAATTGTTACACTCTTAAGTTCAGAAAATTTAATTCGCGGATTTTTATTATTAATATTATTAAATCTATATTGATTGTTGCTGAGAATATGATTGGAAAGCATTGTTTCAATTTTCTCGATTATAATCGCATTCAAATCAAATGTCTTATAATAAATGTATAATTCATGATGTTATTCTAAGTAAGTATATACTTCTCTCAAAAGCGGCATTGTCCTATTGCAACATCATCATAGAGTATCTGGTTCATATCATACATAACAATGAATGATATTAAATATATAATATGCATATATACAGATATTATATACTATATACATATATACACTATACAGATATTATATCATATAATATCATATTGAAAATATTGTAAAATTAAAAATTGTAAAATTAAAAATATTTTTTTCAGATTCAGCTTTTTGTTAAAATATAACATTGTTAAATATTGCAAATATAAAATATAATAAAATAATTATAATTATACAATATTACATACATATATATATAAAATATATATCTATGCATGGATGACTAATATATATATATCTCGCAATCACAATTCGAATGTTGTTACAAAGTCCGTAACACAAAGAGATTAATTATAATATCGATTTTATTTTCTTTGTCAATATCATTATTTCAATATTACCATTATATTACACGGTCCATATAATACAAAATATATGCTGTTGTCTTTTAAGAAAGAAATATATGATATTTACATATATGAATGTATTTTGAAATAAATGAATAAATAAATGATAGTATATGTATGTAAATTCATAATCATTTTAATTTATTTATGTATATTAAATAATATAAATATAAAGTTTGAAAATTTACATTTTACAATCTTAAAAATATTAAAATATTAAAATAATTTTTCTTGAAAAATCTGTATTTTCGAAATATATGAAAAATGACCTATTTTAATTCATTTCCTTTTTTACGAATATTTTTTACTATTATTTTTTTACTATCACTTTTTTACTTTAAACTTTGTTTAATTTAAGTTAAAGATAATAAGTAAAATCACTTTAATCAATGTGTGAGTGTGATGAATAAGTAATCTTTCTTTCAATGGTAAGTACTTACATACTATTTCTTTCACGTGAACAAACTGCATAAGCATGCATTACAGAATAATTTTACAAGTGTTTTCAAGGTAATCTGAAATTAAATTATCAAAAATTAAATTCTTTTTTGAAATCATTTAATATTTTTATCTCATAATTATAAAATAAATTTTATTTGTAAAAAGTATCGATTATAAATATTATACACATTTTAGATTTATTTTATTAATATGAATATGATATTCAATTTATTGCTATCTTCATGTTACTTGTTCAATGTATAACACTAAAATGAATGAACACCTTACAGAGAAAGAGTTGCTTTTGACAGAGGTCGTGATAAAACGCTTACTCATACGTAGTATGCGAATTTTTAACGTTTCTCATATAAGATTTATATTTATTGAAAATAGGCTACAAGGAATTATCTTAAATAATTACAAAATGTTTTACAATTTCTGGCTATTATAAATCAGAATCAATGATGAAATAATATTTTTGTTAATTGTGATCAAAATAGAGAAAGACAGTTATTCTCTTATAAGCAGTAGTAACTTGCAAATATATATTTGCACAAGTGAATAAAGACAATAAAATAGAAGAAGAGAGAAAGTAAATTTGTAGGACAGTAGAAGGAATGTGATGAAATCAGCTATAATTTATTCAAGTTGTTGATTTACACAAAAACACAAATAACATGTTTGAACCTACAGAACAGGGAAAGGTAAGAATCATTTTTGAACTATTGCTGTATGTATTGATGATACAATTGCAATTTTTGATGTCGCAAAATACAATTAGAATGTATATTCTGTCAATTTCATAAATGACATAAACATTCAAGTCACATGCATTATTTTTAATACTTCAATAAAATTGAATTAAGCTTTATGCAAAAGCATAATCATTTAAGTATCATTTATTTCTATATTTGTATCAATTTTGCATTGTTGTCATTTCATAATTTAATAAAATTCATATGTTTCGTTTGACAATAACATTATAATAGAGGTTATGTTTCATATATACTATAGAATATTATCCATTGTTAACATAGATTTTATAGAATTCTTTCAATATAAGTTCAAATCTTATTTATTTTATATTCATATATATATATATATATATATATTATATAATTAATTTTTAATTAGGATCTCTGTATTCATACGGGAGTTGTATTACGAAGTGCAAGTACAAGGGAAGATGAGGTTCATAGCTTAGGCACATTAAATATTGTTGAATATGTAAGTTGATCTAATTTAATATGTTGATTATTTTAAACAACATGGAATATTTTTCTGTAAAATTACAGAGTTTTGGAAAATGTATAGAATGGAAACCTATAGAGGATTCTGTAGTATCAGAAAATCAGGATCAAGATCCAGAATGGTCCTTGGTAGATACTCATATCAGACGTACTCGTACTTCATCAGAAGGGCCAGATTCTCTTGGACGTACAAGGACTGTTAGAATTTTATTCTCAGATTTAAATTCTTTTCGTGTAAATCATGGGGGGCAACAACTTATATTTATGCAAAAAGATGGTACTACCTATGTTGCCTTCTTTCAGCTATCTAATGCTGAAAGTTTTGTAAATTCTTTAAAAGGATTTATTAAATTTGTAAAGTCTCGTACAAATAGAAATTTGTATATTGTAGTAGATGAAGTACAATCAGTACTAACTAAATCATTTGCTGAATTAGATTTATTTCAAGAAAATACTTCAGATTATGTTTGGAAATTTGTAAAAAATTTACATAACCGTCCATATGAAACAACATTAGAAGCTTTTAGTAAACTGGCAGATATTTGGTGTAAGTACAGATAAATCTTGGAATAACAATTTATAAAATTTTTACTACATTCTTTCTAAATTTTAAATTATAGTATACAAAGATCCAGTTAAACGTCCAGTTGAAGAAGCAGTTGCAGATATATTGAATAATTCTTTTACAATTGATATTCCTCCTCCTCCAGTATCTGTAGGTTCAGGAGAGGAATATGAAGTGATTGGGGAATATGAGTTGAGCGTAGTATTACCTCCTAGACCACCTTGTCCAAGGGGTAAATAGAACTGTTGAAAATAGAACTAATTATATAGAACTAATTAATATTAAATTATATTATTAAAAACATATAAATATAATGATTATATTAGGTACTCCACTGTCACAAGAACAATGGAACAAATATAAAGACCCAGAAGGAAGAATTTTAAATCCTCAAGAAGTAAAAGAAGTTATTTTTCATGGGGTTAGTATATTAATCTAAATATCTAAATAAATATATCTATTTTTTGATTTAGAATATACTAATTATTTGCAAATATAATGAACAAATCAAATAAATTAAAAAATTTTTTAGGGTATTGTACCATCATTACGCTTTGAAGTATGGAAGTTTTTATTAAATTATTATCCATGGAATTCTACACATATTGAGAGATTAGAACTTAAAAAAAAGAAGACTGATGAATATTTTATGATGAAATTGCAATGGAGATCTATGACATCAGTACAAGAAAATAATTTTTCCGATTATCGAGATCGAAAAAGTTTGATAGGTAATATGAAAATATTTTAAGAATTTCTAAAAAAATCTGTAATACAAAATTCTAATAAAATCTGTAATAAAAATATATAAATTTTAGAAAAGGATGTGAATAGAACAGATAGAACACATCCATATTATTCAGGTGATAACAATCCTCATTTAGCACAATTATATGATATTCTTATGACATATGTAATGTACAATTTTGATTTGGGATACGTTCAAGGTATGAGCGATCTTTTGAGTCCTATTTTATGTTTAATGGAAAGTGAAGTTGATGCGTTTTGGTGTTTTGTTGGTTTCATGGACAAAGTGGTATGTTTATATTATAAAATTTGTAAGTTATAATACTTATAAAAATATTGAATTAATCACGTATTATTATTATACAAAATAGAGTTCCAATTTTGAAATAGACCAAGCTGGAATGAAAGCCCAATTGTGCCAATTATATACTCTTTTGAGTGCCACAGATCCACAATTAGCACATTACTTGAATAAACATGATTCAGGAAACATGTTTTTTTGTTTCCGTTGGCTTTTAGTATTATTTAAAAGAGAGTTTAATGCAGTTGACATAATGAAATTATGGGAGATATTGTGGACTGATTTACCATGTAAAAATTTCCATTTACTTTTTTGTGCAGCTATTTTGGATACAGAACGAAATGTGCTTATGGAAAATCGTTATGGATTAACAGAAATATTAAAGGTAACATAAAATTTTAAAATCAAAAAGTAAATTTTTTCCTTAAATAATGTATAGTATGCGTTGTAGCATATAAACGATCTTTCACATCACATTGAATTACCTTGGACATTATCTAAAGCTGAAGGTATTTATTATCAACTAATTTCGGTTGCGGACCAGTTACCTGATAACGTTCGCGTAATAATTGGGCTTGAACCTATGAATAAAACATCACCAATTAGTGATATAGAGAATGGTGAAGCTTCTGGTCATAACATTGAAACTGATGAAGCTACTAATAATTCAAGAAGAAGTAGTACAGAAAGTGGCAATATTAAGTTTGGAAATGATGAAGTGACCTTTGAACGTGGATTAAATTTATCGTATATGTGAGAACAAGATCGTTCATTCATCATAATCTAATGAACGTTGTATAACAACGTGTTGTTTACAGTCAATTTTGTAAAATTTATTATTCTTAAGTAATAATATTTATAGTCATATTCTTCAAAACAAATGTATATGCATCATTTGAATTTATATAACACTGACTATTTGATTTTCATCAAAGTTTATTTTATGCAAAAAACTTAGCATTTTGTTTGTTTAACAAACGAATCATTTTCATCAAAATGTGATATTATAATTCAAATTTTGATTATGAAATTTTCTTATGTACATGTTAAACATTATCTCGAATTTATAAAGTTATAGAGAAAATTGTTGTTAGTAGCGTTGAATTTTAAGATATTTATAAAATTCACTATAAGTGAAGAGATTGTCGGTCGTGTGAATATTTAGTAAATAAGAGGTAGTTTCGTATTATATGTTCTTTATCTAAATAATGCTTTCAATGCACATGAATTGGAAATAGTGAATGGAAACAATTTACAGTGTATTTCAAATATAACTATAAATGTTTGTGTTATTTTCACTTAAGTTCAAATGTCTTTCTTAAATCTGTAAAAAATTTCACGATAGTACTGTATATTTCTAATAAAAATCACCTAAACAATAAATAAATTGATATTTATAATTTTCTTACATTTTTTAATATTTGAAAGTAACTTAGTACTAATGTAAATACATATATATATTTATATGTAAATATATATCTAATATTGTTATTAATAAGTTCAACAATGATGCAGTTCGAAAATTGATCGTCTTTTGAATATATAAATTTATAAAATAAATTACAAAACAAAAAGAGCAAATAATAGGAAAAAGATAAGGATAGAAATAAATTAAAAATTATAGAACGCCATCTCTAGAATATTGTAGATGAAACTAATAAAAATAGTATAATAAATAAAGAAATGATAATAAGAAATGATCATTAGCGTCATCTTTTGAGTACCAGAAGAATATTTTTTTTAATTTAAAAAATGGTAGTATGTTCAATTTTTATTCTATTTTATTAAAAAAGATGCTTTTGAAACTAAAAAGATGGCACTGACAGTAAATTCTTGCTCTTTCGATTTTTTCACATTTTTATTTTTTATTTTTTCTACATGAATTTTATTTATGGTATTCTGAAGATAATGAAAAAAAATTATAAACTATGATCATTGTGTTCATTGTTTTTCTCTCCTGAGACATATTATAATGTCGATATCAACTGAAATTTGACGAAGATATATATTACCGATTGCTAGAAATCAATTTTTTTAACATATAATCAAAAATTTATCATTTTTTAAATTTTTATTATTAATTTGTATCTAATAATTTTTTATAATATTAAATATAATTAAAATAAAATTAATTAAAATATTTTTATATTTTATAATATTAATTTTCGACATATAATTGTATTAAAATATTCTAATTGCTATTTTATGTGGAAATTACATTAATTATGTGAAAAATAATCATAAATGGATTTAATAATTCAATAATTTATCAACTTTTAGATTTTTATTACTTAATGCATCTATAATTTAGTATAATATTAAATGTAATAATTAATATATATTTTTTAAACTTAAATTGTTGTTTTATATTATTAATTTTCGATTTATAATTGTATTAAAATATTTTTATTGCTATTTTAATGCGAAATAAAAATTTATTACAATAATAAATGTAATAATTAATACATTTTTAAATTAAAATTATTAGTTCTATAGTATTAGTTTTCGATTTTTAATCATGTTAAGATATTTTTAAATATTTTTATTTTTTCAATAATGATTGTAGAATAATTTAAATTATTCTATATTATGATTAAATAAATTTATAAATTAAATTATATATATATAATTATTATAATATATATATAATATATATATTAAAATAATATATATAATATATATATTATTATAATTATTAATATAATTTATAAAAAAATAATGATATACAAAAAAAATGATAAATTCGTTTAAAATATAAAATATAAGTAAAAAATAAAATATAGAATATATTATGAATAAAAAATAATTTTTAATATCTTAAACTGCTTAGAAAAAAATCTGTTAGAAAAATATTAAAACCATTTAATTTTTATAAAAATATTATTAATTAAGTCATTTTATCATATCAATTTTTAAAGTATTCGAATATTTTTGTGAATAACTATTGTTTCTAAACTCACTACTCTAAACATACCAAATATTCTGTTTTTTGCACGATCGGTAATTTATTTCGTGTAAAATCTTATAAGATGACATATCTATTCTATATCTTGTCTGTGGTATATATATAATCAGTTATGCCACCTACGCGAACACACACCGCATGCAAGATAGATAACGTAACCTTATTTCTCGATCGTGATATGTCAAAAAAATATCTATATGACATATCGATATAATCGAGTACGCAATTATATATATGTAAAGATTTATCTATAAAAAAAGAGTTTTGTCTTCTTGGTTTTTATAGAACTTTTGATTCTATATGACATACGGAATCAAATGATACGAACGGAATATTCGATTATTGTTTCGTATGTATGTATGTTGCCACGACTTTCATTTCTTTATTCGAACGATTTTTGTAAACTTTTTTTCCAGTTACGATATTTTAAGAAATTATTAAGTATATGTAAACGATATTATTATATTTGAGAATAAAAGGCAAAATGATTTTGGCTATTTTTGGTCCATCAATCATTGGACATCTATTTTTAATGTTTAAATGTTATGCAAACACATCATATATTTAAAAATATCTATGCAATACAACAATATAAAAATGTAATGCAAAAACAAGATTTTAAAAAAAAAAAGATGAGAGAGAAGAGGTAAGATAAAAGTGAAAATATAAAGAAGAGAAAGCAAAAAAAGAACACAATTGAAAAAAATAATATAATATTTCTCCAGTTTACAAAAAATATAAAATTACAAAATATAAAGGAGAAAGTTAGTTGATTCTCTCACAATGTGACTTGTTTGGAAGGTAATTATACTTTATAACATTGATATTTCACTTTCTATAAGTTTTAAAATATTTTTAAAGTATTTTTTAGGAACTAATATATGCCATAACATGATACAACCTTTTCTTGAGGAAGGTGCCTGGTGTTACTGGGTTGTGTCTGTTGGAGCGTTATTGTGCTTCCTTGGTCTCATTGTTGCTTGTATTTGTAGCTGTCGTCGCAATGAAAATAAGTAATTGATCATACATTTATAATCATTATTTTTTAAAAAAACATTATTTATATATATATTATAATGATAGAATTATAGTTCATATTGGAATTAACAATATGGTATATTGTATAATTATGAGAACATGTTCGGTTATAATTCCTTTAAATAGGAATGAATTTCTTGGCCTTGCTGGAATGGTAACTCTAAATGATTCTCAAGATGGCTTTAACAGGATTTCGATGACAAATACTCTTCATATAGCAACGCAAGATATTATTGACAGTGGAAAAAGGTTTTTGCTATATATAAATACACGTATTGTATTACATAATCTATATATAATATAATCTTTGAAAATTTTCATATTTGATGAATGATTGTCTGTCTTGAAATTAAAAAATTTTTGTGTTGTATACATAGGTCAACTGGTGCCAATAGAAGTCTTCCAGATATTCCAAAAGACAAAGAAAAAAGACACGAAAATACAGATGCATCTATATCTCAAGATATTTATGAAATCACCGAAACGATTGGTGATCATTCGGAACTCTACGCCACTGTTCAGGACACAGGTATTTTTGATAATAAATTAATTTTTATTTTTCATCTATCAAATTTTAATTTTTAAATATTTTAAATTTTTTAAATTATTTTATTAAATATATGTTTTATCTTTCTTTTAATAATAATATTATATGTAATTCAATAGGAAAAGAACAAGTATCTGAATTGAATGTGCCAGAAATTTTACATCAAAATCCATTGAATCAAAAAAATTCTGATAATGAGTATTTAAGATTTCCATCATCTCCTAATTCGGAAAATGGTATGAATGCAAAAATAATTATAATTGTTTAATGTTATATATTTATCTTTCTTTCGTTATATATTTATCTTTTTTTCATAATATTTAATATTTAGTTAAATCATATTTATAATAATTGTTTATATTTATTCCAGTTGAACATCCGTATGCTCAACTTCAAAATGTTCAAAAAACTGAGGCTAATCAATTGAATCGGTAATAATTATACTCATACATATAATAATATTACATATAAAAATTCTTTATATATATATATTTTTTTTATTTTTCTAATAAAAATAAAAAATTAATATTAAATATTGTAGAAATAACATCAAACAAGTTATTGATATTGAGAAACCATCAACATCAACATGTCAAAATAATGGAAATCCAGTTGCTCCCCCAAGAACTCGTCGCTCTTCATCGCATAATTCACTTATATCTACCGAAACTGGTTCGTGTGATATTCAAGCAGCTAATGCCATATCTGGTGGAGTACAAGCTAATCAAGATTTACCTTATATGACACCACCGTTATTGATGTTGCTTCCTCAACCACCGCAATCTCAGTCAAATAATCTACAACAGCATTTTAGTGGAGATTCTCAAGATTCTAGTAAATATTTTGTTCTCTCATATCAAATCGATTCTTGGTAATATTTCATTAATTTATATTAATTGAAATCAAAATTAATATATTTTCTTTTCTTTTTCATTTTATACAGAAGGATACACAAGTATCAGCGTAAGAGAACCTCTAGCTAATATAATTGCACAAACAAAAACAATTTGTCGACAGAGTCAATCCATTCGATCATCTATAGATCCCCATTACGCAACAGTGTCGGATGACTCTGGTATATGCATATATTCATGGATTTGTAATATGGATATAATAATAATTAATTTCTAGGCAATGTACTCGTATATTATTTCTTCCATTTTTCTTACTTTTTTTTATCATCGATGAATATCATTTCATTTGACAGATGAGATGTATGCTGCGATCGATGAACAAGATAAAGTATATACTAGTGGTAGCGAAACATATGCTCAAATACAACCGACGATGACAGAAGTCCAACGAATACAAAATGAGCAAACATTATTCTCTCGAGTTCCGTCTCGTTCTGATGAAACATTCCCTGCTCCGCAACCTCCAAGCGTCGACAGTTTACGGCATGTTGCACATGCTCATTCGAGACAAGGTAAATAGTTAGTAATTATTGCCAATTATATATTCATATCTATTTTTATTTTTTTATTTGAAATCTGGCTGCAGCTTCATCCTCAAGTGCCAATAGTTCTATCGTAAATCCCGGATCACCGAAGCCTGAGAAACGTCAAGCTAATTCTCCATTACCACCTCCACCAGAAGGAACGATAGAAGTATATGCATCGATTGATAAGAGGACAAAAAATGAGGATCGATTGAAATCGACTTTGTCTAGTGGAAAATCTCTAGAGGATATGTATGCTAAAGTAATGAAGAAAAAGAAAGATGTTGAAGAACAACAAAATGACGCACATTCGAGTTCTCAAGGAATTCTACATTCCGAAATATTTGTTCGGAAACCAAGCTTTGTTGAAAATAATAGGATTTCATCGTCTAGTCATGATTCCATGGAAATACAAAAAAAGGAATCCGATTCTGTCGATAATGGCAACCTAGATGAGGATATTTTGGTAAAATCATCTTCTTCGCTGTTTAAAAGTGGTGATGATGAGGATTCATCAAATTTCCAACTTGGTCATAATTATGAACCTATGAATGATTTGCAAACTAGACATTCAACAATTCGCGAATCCTGTGATCCGAATTACGAAATGTTATGTCCGCAAGAAAGAGTCTCTGTTGACACTATATCAGATTATCAGCAAAATGATAGCTCCGTATCAATTTCTCTACGAAATAATACTGATTTGCCAACCACTTCTATTTCTCCTTCTTCTTCTTATTCCAAACCGTTCAAACATCGACAAATTAGTAATGCTAGCAGCGAAGATCCCGGATATGAGAAAGTAAGATTAAGAAACAGATGTGAAATAGATCCAGATACAGATTCGGAACCTAATTATGAAAGTATGCCACATGATACAGGAGAACCAAATTATGCATCAGTTTGTCGACCCGGTGATAGCGATACGGATCCTAATTACGAGTCTGTTAATCATGAAGATCCTAATTACGAAAGCGTGAAATATATGAGTGTTACTCGTACGGAAGAACCGCCATATGAGCAAGTGAACGCGTATAAAGTCGAACAAAATTCTAGTGGATATGAGAAAGTAAAAAAACATATATTGTGTAACACTGATTATGAACAGATTCATCAGAATCATTTGACTGATTCGATTAATGGGGATACCGATGACGAGCAATATGTGCAAGTCTAGTCTCTTATTTTTCGTTTTATTTCTTTTTTGTGTTTTCTTTTTTATGTTCTTTATGTGTTTTTCTTATATGTTCACAATATTCTTTTTTCCTACTTCATGTTTTATATTAATATGTTTCGTTATATTTTCCAACATGTATCATACGCATTTCTTTTTTTGACTTTGGCAATTTTTTTTTCTTTCATATCCAACATAAAATTAATTGTTTAAGCTTGTACACAAGCGAAATAATATCATTGCGATCCCAACTATAAAGATGCCAAATTATTGTTACAAATCCGCAACAGTGCCGTGTCACTCGTGTGCCTCTAACCTTAACATAATTACATTAACTACATCACATGGAGGAAAAACACGAATTCATCGAACTTCGTTCATAGTAGTTACTAGATGTGCAATAATGATACGCATTATTTACTTTTAATTATATATATATATATATATATATTAATAAACAAATGAATTAAATATTTAAAAAAAAATTATAATAATTAAGTGAATAATGCATTTCATTTTCGCTTTAGTTCAAATTGAAAACGAAACGGAAAAATAAAGTGAGAGTTCGTTACTTCATTGTTTCTCAACTTACAGAAACAAACTTATTTATTTATAAGATTATTTTCTTCTTCGTTATCTCCTTTTCCTTTTTCTCAAATGACAATTTTAATAATTTGTAAATTATTGGAATATGTATTCTGTATATAATTTTGTGCATTGTAGACATAAAGTTTTCTTTTTTTGAACACATTTTGTTTAAGATATATCTCGCATAAATCAATAACGACGATGATAATATAAATTATATATGTGTTATACACATGTACGCTTTTGAGCATAGCACAATCTTGCTTACGGCGCTAATTTACAAGAGGTAAACAATGTCGTAATTAAACGCATTCATATTAAATGCAACGATTTGTATTCTTTTATATGTATTTTTCACAAAGTCGAATGTCTTTCGATAAAATAAAAGATATTTAAAAAAAAAAAAGAAAAAAACAAGGAATATTTTTTTGGAATTGTGTCGAAGTGAATTCAGTCAACATAGCCCAAATCATATATATATCATAAATATCATACACAGATTACATCGTGTATTTTTTTATTCATAATTTCTATTTATCGAAGATGTAATATTTCAATATATCTCGCTTATCAATTTTCTTCATTTATTATAAACATATACTTAATTATATCTTTCTTTTTTTTTTCATTTTTTTCTTACAATTATTATTATATTATTTTCGAGTTACCATAAACAAAAATTCCTACTTGTTTTTTTTTAAGAATTATATATTTGAATATAAAAAAACGATCAAATGAATAGCGAGCAAAACAAAAACTTACCAGTTGATACAATTGTTCGATAATTTCGTTTCATAATTCACCGAATATGCGTGTCATCATGTTCATTTTTGATCAGTATAAAATTGTATAATGTAATTATCATAATAAATGGCAGCATTTATCGATTTCATATACATTTTATACGCATTGTATTTTCTTAATAATTTTTTCGTTTCATACATTATATACGATAGAATACATTCATGTCATGATATATTGAATCCATATTTAAATAAATTTCATGATAGATCGAAAATATTTAAAAAATATTGGAAATTAGATTAAAACATAAATAAAAATTAAACAGATAATGAATTACGAAAAGGGAAAATAAAAATAAAGACATATTTCTTACATATGTACATATATATATAGTAATTTTATGAAACCACATAATCATTGCATCAAGGAATAAAATATAATTATATTACTTTGTAAAATCAAATTGGTTATTTCAAGCTTTGTGTCATATCATTTAATCTTTAAATCTGAAAAATGAAGATAACAATTAATAAATTAAAGTAAAGAAATAATTCACTTACTAAGAGATCATGTTTATATATGTGTAAGCGTAAATATGTAATGCCGTATGTATACAACTACGTAAATAAATTAATGCACGAATGCATTATGCAAGAGAAGAATACAAATAATAATATAATTTTCTACTTAATCAAAAATTTCAACCAGATATACGAATGTAGTGCCGTGTATTTTTACATAATCTCTGATTATTTCCATCACGTCGAATTTGCTAAAAATTATACAAAATAAAACAAGAAAAAACAAATGTCGATTCGTATAATTCGTAGCGATATTAAATCTAATTAACTCGATATAAAAATGTTCTTTTTTTTTTAATTTTATCTGTAACAAAATTAATAATCACACATATTTTTCATTCAAGTTATTGCCAATGCACAGATTATAGCCTAATTTTTATTTGTCACATTTCTTTAATCAATCCTTGGGATTTCTTTACAATCATAAATATAAATATCTCTGTAACTATGATAAAAACATCCATACGTATATAATCTTTTAGATATTTAATAATGTTCATATATTTGCACATATTTTTAGACTAAAAATTTAAAAACAATAAAATATAATAATATAAATATATAACAAAATAACAATAAATATTTAACTGTTTAAAATTATTTAACAGTCTATGAAAAAATAAATGGTACATACATAAAAAATATATAAATAGTTTTTATCGTATTCGATAATACTCGGCAATAAATAAATAATTTCGTCTCGTTGGAATGCAATCGAGCATATTATTAAAAAATTTTTTCGTATTAACCATGAAAGCGCTTCAATGGATTTCTTTGTAGAATGAAATGATCGACTAATGATAATTGCGATAATATCGATCGAGATAGAAAATGAGACATTTCGCTGAACATAAATAACGCAACACGTGACATTAAATAAGATGGCACGATGTCACACACTATTGACACTGCTAGCTTCTTCGATATCGCTCTCACTCATTGGACTAGTCGATGATTCTAAATGATATTTTGAATCGTTATTCAAATTTTGATAACGTTGTTGTTGTTGTTGTTGTTGTTGTTGTTGTTGCTGCTGCTGCTGTTGCTGTTGTTGTTGATGATGATGATGATGGTGATAATGGTGGTGATGTTGAAGAAGATTTTCATCGTGATAACATAAATGTCTATCGTCTATGTGTTGGCGCAGATCGTTGAGATGCACAGTCTGAACTCTTCTTTTCAACTTCCGATGACAAAAAAGACAAATGATTAATGCTATTAATACAGCACCGATGGTATAACCCACAGGAACAGCGTAATTATTTTTCTGTACAACTGTATTACCTGAAATATAATAATTTTCTTGTCAAATTTTTTTCAATCATCCGCATTCTTTTTTCTTTTTTCAGCATCTCTTTTTCTAATTTGTAAGTCCCTTAAGATAAATAAGTTTGATCGACATCGAGTCTTTTATTAAAATTTTATTTTATTTTTTTTATTACTTTTTTCATTAAATTAAATCAATTTTATATTTTTATTACACTTTTAAACAGAGACTACAAGTAAAATAACTGCGAAAAGAAAATAAACGCGACAGAAAGTGCAGTCAGAAAGACAATTGTATATAATTGTAAGTAAGGAACCAATTGAAAGTCGTCGGCAACTAAGTTGTTTGACTATTAAATTTAAGACCTGTTATACACTGTCGACAAGTTATTTAGTAGCGACGTGGTCATCTAAAGATGGAAAATTAATGTAATCAATTGTCAATCGTGTTGTCTTTAAAAAGAATGAAAACATTTCTTTTATACTCTTACTTTTTTATAGTAAAGAATTTATTCTTTTTCCTTTTTTTTTTTCTTAACATGTTTATTATCGTCATTTTGAAAAGAAATTTGATCACGCTTTGATAATATAATTTTTCACACAATATAAAAAGTGTAATGTGTGAATAATGAGTGTAATAAGTGAATAAATAAAATTTTATTTATTACTGTACAAAAGTATCTATGTTTAGAATTTACTGTTCATGGCTATATATATAAGAAGTCCTCGAGCAAGTTTGATTAGCTGATTTCAATGAATCTAATACATTTATAATAATAAAACATATTATATAGAAATAAGACATATTCATGAGATATCTTGTCAGTGAACAGTATAGTATCGAATATTATATCTTAAAAAGGAAAGTATGTAGTGCAGGATAAATGGTAACAAACGTGTCAAGAAAATTTCATATTTAATATAATATAATCTCTTTCCATATCTATTCTACATATAGGTATAAGATTCTTTAAGATAACGACAATTTTTGATTGCCGAATTTATTGATAATCGATAATTTCAATTGTTGAGTTTGATCTCTTGAATTTTGATCTCTTGGACTTGTCGATTCGTTCGTCACGTGACATCGACAATGCATATCAGATCTAATAGGAAAGGAAACAGTGTGATTGTGAATATTTTGTAAGGAAGAAAATACACGTGTGCGAGTTCTCGCAAGAGAAAGGGAGAAGAGAGAGTTCGCGAATTCACATGCTATTGTAGTATATGAATAAATTCGCATTCACTGTGTATCATGCATTTTTCGGTAAACTTTGTGTGAAAAACAAGGAACAATTTTAAAACAAAATAAAAAAATTGTGATTTCTTTGAAATCTGTGTAATTGAGAAAATAAAAATAAATAATTACTTACGAAATGTTTATCGTGACACTTGTAAAATTATATGCATAATTAATAATCAAATTCAAGAATTTTTATAAAATGTATAATATTATTATAAATTATAATTATAATTATAATAAAAAAAAACGTAAGATAGTACGAGTGATTTTACGTTTTGAAATTATATACACACACATATATATATTATATATATTATATACATATATATACAATATATATTATATACATTATATATATATACATATGTATATATATATATAAATGATTGTGCATCATTGATTTGTTTCATTTATAATCGTACACATACGATATAGATTACCTAGTCTGGATCATAAACAAGTTATAATTTATGTTTTTGTATGAAAATTAAGAGCAATGTGCAATATTGTGAGTGAACTCACGTGATAGGGGAGATCATAACATGCCGGATCGTCGGAAGCTTCATGAAGGGCTCAGATGGCCACGAACACAAAGCACAGAGAGAGAAGAAGCATGGCAGAGACTCCAGCCAGTGCTGGTGACAATGGGGCTGATGCTGCACCTGCGACACCACACACAGTCATTCACCCACGCAATCTCTCCATTCTTTCACCTATACACACAGCTACCTACTACTCACCTAAAATATTACACAAATTTATAGTACATAATTTATAATACATACTCGTCATTTTTCGTCGAGTTTTTTTTTTATTTAATATTTCTTTTCGATTTTGTTTCTTTTTTTTTTTTTTCTTTCTAACGTGAAACATCGTTGCCCGAAACCCCATTGCTATACGTATCATATTACAATCATCTTGAAGGCGTGTATTGTATACGCGTGTGCAAGATAAATATCGACACTTTCTTTTTATTATTATTATTCGAAAACAATTAACAATTTAAAACTTGTCATGATTTACACGATATCTTCGAGCAAAAAAAAAAAAAAAAAACTGAAAAATACATGCCTCGTGCAGAATTTACTAATCTTTATTATATCTTAAAAATGTATTCTTAAGCCGCCTGCACATCCTAAAATATGTTGCGATGCATTACATTATACATACATTAACTCTTCCTGTGCTAATACTATGTGATTTATTATTTAACAAAAATTAGTATGGTACATTTATTATTTAACAATAATTAGTATACTGATCTATAAGCAAATCCTGTTATCGATTTAAAAAATATGATGCGCAAAAAATCTATACAAACTGGATATGCATATTGCAACATAATTCAACATGTGGAAGTTGCTTTTTATTCTATTAATGCCAAATTTTACAATATATATATTATATATATATATATTGTTTCAATTCACGCAATCGATAATAAATTCGTAACGTATACCATAACAGATTAGATTTTAATTAATATCACGTGATTGTATATGTGTACATTTATAGTAGACGCGTGCATACATACACACTCGCGTATATGCATGCATAACATATACGTGAGAAGGATTAATTAAGGATAGTAGTACTATATTCGGTAAAAAGAGAACACGCTTGAAGAATTTGTAGAGTAATAGAATAATCAAGTATCTATTGAACGAAATTCGAAGAAAAGTACATGTTTGATATTGAATTCGAAGATGTGCGCATATGTTGTGTATATACATTTTATACGTATAGCGTATGACGGACGACGTCCACGCGAGGCGAGAACGTATACCCGATAGATTTATACAACTATGATGGTAGAAGCAAAATAAAAGAAGTAGAATCCAATCACATATTTCTAAAAAGTTGGCTTGATATTTCTCTAACGTTTACGAAACTTACAATTTTCTTCATCCGAAACATCAGCTGGGCCACAATTATAAACCTCATTACATCGAAGCGACTCTGCAATGCAGTATTTATTTTTGCTGCACAAAAATTGATTCTGGCAGTCGGTATTTGTGCTTACTTCCGTCCATATCGCTTTAAATCCCAATTGTCCAACCGCTTTGTCGGCCAATATGAAGCTAAAAAGAAAAAAGGAAAAAAAGAGAGAAAAAAATCCGATCAATGCTCAAGTACTTTGCCCTCCGATCGCAATTCGTTCGATTTATGAATATGACAGAACGGAGCGAGCTTTACAAGCTAGCGAACAACGAACCTAAGTCGCATGTTGTTATCCTCAGAAAGATAAGTCCATTTATCTGATGTTTTCACGCCGCATAACTCAATAGGCGTGGACGATACGGAATACCACATGCGCAGCACGGCAGCTGGACAACCACGAACTAAAGGGAAACGTTTCTTTTAATATCGTATCTTCAAGGTAATTGTGATGTTCGAATAGAAAGGGAGAGAAAAAAAAAAAAGATATACCTGATTGATCACCCTCTACCGAAAACGATTCAAAATTTAATAATATTCGCTGATTCGGTCGAACTCTTATAAACCAATTGCAAGTTTTACTTGCCATATTTCTCGCGGGTCCATCGTATTTGTTTGGAAAATTCGGACTGGCGATAATACCATAATTTACACTACTTATATTCGATCCGCAATCTGTAACGTAAAAATTATATAAGAAGGGGGGAAAACAAAAAATTCGTTTTGTTTTCGTTTTACATCGAAAAATCATGGTTAGGTTAGGTTAAGTTAGGTTAGGTATTACATGGTTACCTCCAAATATAGGTTTCGCCACTTCGAACGTGTAACGCGCTTTAAAACCGCTATAAACTAGTTCCGAGTCCGAATGGAGAATTACTCTTAAACCGAGAGCACCGAGATTTGACTCAACAGGTCCTGGCGCCGTGTTACCGCAGTATCTACCTATCAATTTTTCCGTATTGTCCCGATACATATTATATATTTCCAACCAATCATCTTGACAAATTTCCATTCTGATAAAATATAAGAAAAAAAAAAAAAAAAATGAATCGTGAATCATAGAATATAAATAACAGGGAAGAACCGAAGCAACATACCCATAATGTCCATCCGTCATGTTCATATTTTTCGTTCGAACTTTAAAGTAATCAAATATTAAGGTAACTTGCTCGTTTGGCGTCGCTAAGAATAAATATGTGCAATTTGTATCGCTTGGATAATTACTAGGATGTCGAGGAGAATTAAAATCTCCTCTTTTGCGAGAGGAACTGCGGTATGTGAATGTACAGCTGCCATCGGGTGCAGCGGTGCCCGGTATTTTATATTCCGTTTCAAAAGTGTATCTATAAACATAAATGCCCCTTATATATGGCTCGTTTTTCTATATAATATAAATGGTTCCGTGAACATATTGCAAATTTTTTTAATTCGCCTCTTACCGTGCTTTAAAACCTTGCCCTTGAGATTCTCCGCTGCTAAACACCATCACGAGTCTCGGCCCATCGCTAACTACGTGGTTCGGATTGCTCTTCACGCCGCACAATTCGTAATCAAATTTGTCGTAAGAATCCGTCGCTTCTTGCCCTTTTAAGTATAACTTTAAATATCCATCGGTACAAGACGAACTGTAGACCGAGAAGTAACAAAACAGGATAAATATGACGAGGAAAAGAATTAAGAATTAATATTTAAATATTAATTAATTAATTATACTTACTCTCCTATAGTCTTATTCTTTGGTATATTAAATGTTATAAATTCTAATCGAACACGCTCGAGATGTTGAGAATCTTGCATTCCATATATGAAATATCGACACACGACCTTCGGTATGTACGGATATGGAAAGTTTGGGCTAACAACTTGTCCAGACGATTCCTTTTTACTTAAAATCTTCTGATCACATTCTGATCCTCGTATATGCTCACCCTTGTTAGCGGTTATGAAGTCTGAGTAGACAGAGACGAATAAGACGGAAACATGCATATACACACTCGAAATTATAAAAAAAAAAAAAAAAGAAAAAAAAAAAAGAATATAAAAGAAAATCTTTCTAAATCTCTTATATTTATACCCCTTTATATGATTTAAATCGATATAAATATCTCGTATTGAATTTTACTTAGAATTTTTATTTTATTTTGAATTAATTTTTCATCGAGTGTTCATTAAAAAAAATATGACAGAAGAGTTAATCGATCAATACTAGAAAGTTTCGACTTACCTAATTTAACAAAACTCTCTGAGAATTCAAAGATGCCCTTGAATCCACGATTTTGTGTATTGGCCGTACGTTGAAGGGTAACAAACAACACATACAAACTAGATTCTGACGAATACAACACCAAATTTCGCTGTTGACCGCAATAAGTTCCTATAACGGCCGACGTATCGTTTAAACCATCATACACTTTTACGTAATCCAAAGGACAGCTATTCGACATACGAAAATCAAATTAATAATCAAATCACGTACTCCTGCCACTCAATTGATATTATTAATTAACGATCAATTGCACAAATATTTACATACTGTTGACCTCCGAAGAACAAATCAAAATCCCGGAATTCGAGTCTCACTCGTTGCGATTTATTCCCAATAAATTGATAACTGCATATAATACCCTTTGGATATGTGCCAGGATACGTAGGAGATAATATATTACCATTGCGTTTATGTTCCGAATCTACCGTGAAAGAGCATGGTGTGCTGGGAGCTGGTGTTCCCACCTCGTATTCAGCTAAGAACAATAATTAATAGAAACAAAAATAAATATGATTTTTATTTGTATGCATGTAATAATACTATTGTTTTCAACTGTTTACTACTGAAAAGAAGCTTAGTACAGGGACAAGAGAGGTCACCTATCCCCACTTCAAACGCTTTGTTGACAATCCTGACACTACACACTACATAGTAAAAGAGTTATAATCTGAATATTCAAAATCGTAAAATTTATTTCCATTTATAAAATTACGTTAGGATAATTATTTAAACCTGAAATATTTTCGAAATTATTAATTATGCTTAATTAGTTTATACAATTATTATTTTTTATTATTTACTTGAGTACGAAATTATATTTATAAATTAAATTATTGTTAAATTAAATCATAATTAGCCTATATATATCATGAGAAATAACAAAATTTTTATATGTTAGAATATTCTGAATTTTACGCCAATGCATTGAGATTTAGATCATCGTTTTATTGCTTTTCTCTGTCACAATTGAATTAGTATATGTGACAAATAACATTAAAAACACGCTAAAAAAAATGCGAGTGAAAATAGTTCCCTCACACATTAACCAATCAAACCCACGTTCCTTCTGTAAAACTTCTTTCCAGCAGTATATGAAGCTTGTTAATTGAAAATTGAAATACAAATTAAATGAACATACATGAATTGATAAAGGCATAAGTACCGCTGAACAGGGTAGGTAACGTAATATTTTTATCAGTGTAAAAACTTAGAGCAATTCCTTGGTAAAGAGAAACACGCCTACGAGGTGGGATCGGGCCACAGAAACGACCACCGAAAGGCGTTTCCACTAATTTGCTGGTATTCTCCGATCGTATTTCCGCATACACATCCATATATTCGTGGACACAACTGAAAACCAAGTTTTTCCTAGTTCATCTGTGAACAAAAATGGTATGGCCGCAAGCAAATTATGTCGACACCTAACAGATATAAATACTTACGCGGGTAATTCTCCAACAGCGGATCCACTGGAATGAAAATTTTGCAAAAAATTGATAAATGCACAGAAGAAATTTAAACAAAAATGTGGTAACATAATGTAATTATACTTGCTTGAGTTTAGAAGAAAAAAAAAACTACTTACTCTGGAGGTGTTCCCCGAAGGCCAAACGAAGTAAATATCAGTTCGACTCGTTGTCGTGGTCCAGCAAAAAATGTATATACGCATTGTCGAGAATCTCCATCGTAATTTATTAACGTTGGCGCGTGAAATGTTCCATTCGGTGGTCCATCAGGTGTGCTTATAAATTTTTGATCACACTCTGTAAAGTAATCACATACGCATCTCTGTATTCTTATTTCTTACCGATCAATTGATATAAATCAATATTTCAATAAACTATTAAATATTTCACATGATAAACGGTACGCCACATATTGTCATCATTTTATTATATATTTCTTTACTTCTCTTTGTTCTATTCTTTCTCTCTTTCTTGTAAAAAAGATGATTATTGTCATTGATCATAATCTATATGTTATAACTAACCTGTACTACTGTGAGGACAAAGTAGCAAGAGCAAGATAAAAGTAGCAAAAATCAAATTATTCCCAGAGACATGCCAGAATACTGAAGCCATACTATATCATAAGAATACACATTTGCATTTTGTTCAATCAGAGTTTCAATCGAAACCACGATATACTTTTTCCGTTATTATAGTAAAATTGTAGAGAAACCATTAATAGCGGCCACTGTGATTTTACCATATCGTAAGTCTCTATTCCACACATATAAAAAATGCGAAACATCGATTTTGGAAATCATCTGGAATTATATGAATTTATGTAAAGTTATGTAAAGTTAAAATTAATAATTGAATTAAATAAGATCACATACATGTTATATGTAATAAGCGTGTCCTATTTTTACAAACATTGCACATGAAAAATTATACAATTATACGAACTACATCAACTGTTAATAAATAAATATTTTTATAGATTTTTACGTCGATAAATTCAGAAAAGAAGAAGAAAAATAAAATAATGTTTGATCAGTTTTGTTATGCATTGCAAATGCGAAATCTATCTTAATCTATGTTACTTAATCGCAATTTGTATACAATAAAGTACGTAAAGAAACGAATTCTATATAACATAATATAACATAAACATACGAATGTATATCAACTTAAGATCTTGAACACGTGTTACGTTTAATTTGCCACACCCTCGGAGCATAAAATGTTGTGTTTTTTCTGAGATTCTGCGCAACCACTTTCATAATTTTGATTACAATATATATTCAATTGGATTCGTTTATTGTACATTCTTGTTACAATATATTTAATTGTTATTTACTGTTTAACGTAACTTTGAAAAAATAAAAATAAAAGAGAAATTTTTAATATTTAAAGCGCTTTGACTAACCGCCGTCCAGAGTCGCTTTCAACCCTCTCATCTTCGTTTTGTATATATACAGTATGTATTTCGATATGGGTCAATAACAGCAGCGCCTCTAGTGATAAGTAATAAATTTGCACGCCATGTACTAACCTCTTTTCCATATGAATGTAAACGATCTACCACATCATAAATTTATCATAAAAAAATAAATAAGAAATAAAAAAAAAAGGAAAAACGTTTTATAATGATGATATGATAAATTTATATAAAGCAATTTTTAATATCTTGAATGAAAAATAAATTCCACGGTATATCATGTGCAACTTGTTATATACTGAAAACAATCTTATATTTTTTTCTCTGACTCTAATAAAATATAAATATATAATTAAATTATTTACAATACATTAAATCAATTATTTAAATGTAGGAATTTCTTGTTTCTTTTCATAGAAAGTATTTTGTAGCATGCATACTATATTTAAAACATATATGTATGTATAGGTATATAATAGATACGTACCTTAAAAAACTGTGTTCAAATTTGAAATTCTTGATATTCCAATACATTAAATTTATAGATTAAATTCTTCAATGTTGTTCGTTATAAATGTTTCTCTCTTTCTTTTTCATTTGAAAATATAATATACACGTATGTATATCTTATCTCATATTATATACGACAATATTTTTGAAATGACACATTGAAGCGTGAAAAAACAACTGAGGATAAAAAAATAATGCACTTATATATTAAAAACGCGTTTGTTATACATTGAATTTTTTTTATAGAAGTCACGATTTTTTAAATTATCATTACATCTGATAATATGTAAATAATATGTAAAATGAACAGTTGTTTTGGAAATTAAATTATAATTAAGAATAGTAAGACAGATACTTGATACGTGCCGGTATATAATATATTGCGTATAAATATACGGATAAATATTTATAACGCACAAGTGATCGACAAGTAATCGACAAAATAAAAAAAAACTGAGGAAAAACTGACGGAACGGTGCAATAAGCGTAACGTTAAATAATTCTTAAACAGTCAACTTCTACGGAGGTACTGGCTACCTATTATCTATACACGCCCCAACGATGGGTTAGAGGTCGCTAAAGTCAATCCATAAGAGTGGGGAGGAAAATCAACTTAAGAGATTTAGGTACAGTAAGAATACAGCAAATTTTTATTTATTTACGTAAAATATCTGTAATATACATTTATCGAATATATCTTCGGAAAAAAAAAATATATTCTAATTCATAAACTCTCTAATAAATTTATATTTTAATAATTATGTGAATAATTAATTATGAATATGGTTATTTTCAGAAAAAATAATTTATTGCATATTGAGCGTGATCAAATTTAAAAAAAGGATTATGGACATAACTAATAATGAAATTGTTATTGCTCATATCATTATTTGCTGCGATTAATAAAATACATATGAAATACATAAATGATAGTAATTTTCAAATTAACCTCTTTTGAGATGATTTAGTTTGATAGATACATGCACATAATAGTTATGAATAAAATAGGATATGAACAATTTCAAGATGCTTCAATGATGCTTATGCATCATTTGTTGCCTCATAATTTTCATATTTATGACTATTAAATCGTTTAAATCGTAATGATGATATCAATTTGTAATATTTTTACATTTTACAATATTGTTCGTGTTTTACGAGTCTCACTTGTCAAAATACAATTAGATGTTAATATACAATATATAGTTAGATGATATTCCAAAGTCGCTTAATTGAAATTTATAAATCATTAGATTGATAAATTTAAAAAGAAAAAAAGAAACATTTTGCATCAATACAGAATACTTTCAGCTTCAAATATCATCATATACGCATAGAAGAAAAAACCAGAATGGATAAAAGAAGAGGAGAACAGTATGTATTCTAACGGTATATAAATAAATATAGCATCGTTTAAGAAAGGTAATTCACATACAACTGTTTATTGAGACATGTAGAATACATCTGGTCATACACAAAAATCTTTGACACTTTAAATCAAGCTCCTAGCCCGAAAAAGGAACCATTTCAACATTATTTTAAATTCATCAATAATTATTACATTTAACTACGTCACACTAAAATTAGAGACAACTTTTAAAATTGCAGGAATTAAAAAAAAAGCAAAGCAATTGGAAGATGATGAATAATAAAAAGAAATCTGAAAACGCAATTATCAACGATAAAGGAATTTGGTCATTTGAAATTTATCGTTCACTTTTAGCCATGGAGCTGACATGTGGCATGTGTGGCGCGAGAAACATAAACCGTTCATATATATGTTCATGTGAATAGTGTTACGTACATTTTTTCATTTTTTTTTTTTTTAACATTTTTCTTTCATTTTCTTTCCGTACAATTGTTCACTTTTGTTGTTTTCCTCATTAGTGCTAAATAACATCACGTCACAAAATGCATATCCGCAGGAATATAATATATAATATATTTATATATAATTAAAAAACACGTCTTTTTGGGTCGTTATTAACATAAATTGAGCGACCCAAAAATCACACAACATCCGCTTGACACGGGCCAACCAAGAAAAGTCAAGTTCCCAAGGATGTGTGCCGCAAATTAGGGCAATGACCGGGTAAAAGGGTGCGCGCGGCTACAGCATCGTCAGCCACAGTGGTGCATTATCCTAAATGCGACCGATAACCCCCAGGCACCCCAGCTGCCACACCGGTCACTTGTATAAAATAGCAAAGGATAAATGATATAATATTGGGGCGCCTTAAACGCTGGGGTAGGGCCAATATCGTAACGCTAGTACCTAGATCAGTCTAAAGTCTCGTCACCGTGAACTGCTTCCGCTTTTGCCAGGTTATGCTTCCTTGCCCCCGCAAGCTGAACATTTCCTCTTTTTTTCGTTCGTTCGTTCGTTTCTTCGTTCTTTCTTTCTTTCTTTCTTTCTCTCATACTTGCTTCCTACCTGCCTGCCTTATATTAGTATATTATCTTCCTCTATTATAATTTCGAAGGAAAACCAGAATTCTTTTATATTGAAACGTTATTGTGTTACAAAAACCCACTCAGTATAATTAGCAATATCATTCTTATTATATCGTTAATATTAATATTATTATATCCTTGATATTATGTTTTTATAAATAGGATGTGTAGGTAAGTAGAATAGGTAGGTATAAAATATGTAGTGAGAATAATGAATTACGAGGAAAAAGGATTAAAGGAATGAAAGGTAATAATATTGATTCGTATGTATAAGGACAGTAATTTTTTTTCGATTGCTGGCTTCTTTCGTTTCCCTCTACTCTTTCTCTCATCCTCTCATTCTCTCACTCTCTTTCTCTCCTTCTCTTTCACTCTCGCTCATTCACTCGCTCCTCCTTCCCCACACGCACACGCGCACACAATCATCTTTCTTTCTTTCTCATCCATCACCCATTTCTATCATTCAGCTTCAAACAAATACTTTATCATACCCTCCCCTTCCCCTTTTTTTATCCATGCATCTATTTCTTTCATTTACACGATCGCATGACCGGGGACAGGAAGTAGAAGTGAGGGAACTTCGATCGTTAGATTACTGCTGCGTCATCGCTACCAAATTTGTATCAATGACGAAATAAAATCGGACTTGAGTAATTACGAATAAAATGTGCAACAAAACGTTGGTCGATACGAGTCGTTCTAAACAAATCGATCACGATAGATTGTCGTTAATGAAAACTGATCGATTCGAGTTTTTAATGAATACAGGAATGGTGGGCATTTTTTGTTCCTTGCCTTCAAGTTTTTGATTCCTTCTCATTCCTTTTATTAATCGGACACGGAAATGCATTTCTCTCATACCTACTTCTGTGTGCATTGTATCCAATAGGGCCAAAGTACATGCTAGTTTTTTTTTTTTTTTTCGCTGATGCTATACTCATAATAAGACAATACAGTGATATGCAGTCACTTCGTTACAAATGAAATGATCTTTCGCAACTTTTTAACTATCTTTCCGTCACAATTCGGGGGTAATGTGTAAAACGCTATTAGGCTTCGCTTTTATGTTTTTTTTTCTTTTTTTTTTTTTTTTTCATTTCAATTATTCTCCAGAACAGGGGGTGTCTGGGCTCCAGGGACAGGGACCAACTATAGCCCGCATTTGCAACTCTTACTAATTAACTAACAGGCTAACAATAACAACGAGTCAACACTCAAAATGTGTGCTGTATGTGTTCATGCATTTGTAAACGCTGCGTACACTTTACACATCCTAAATCAATCCGTGACTATCATTATCAAATTCTGTAGTCAGTCGTTCTAGAAACAAACTTCTCTGCATGTGGTAAAAAACCACGCGATAAACGCAACATAAAAATTTTGAAAGTAAAATTTAAGATAAAAATATAAACGAAACATATAAGATATATCTTTTTTCCTAAACGTTTTGCTCGCCCGTACATATCCAACGGTCCTTTGTTCGATTTTTTAATAATAATAATAATAATAATTATAATTATAATAATAATTATAATAATAATAATAATAATAATAATTAATAATAATTAATAATTAATAATAATAATAATAATAATAATAATAATAATAATAATAATAATAATAATAAAACAAAAAGAAAAATAAAGGGAACAGAAGAAAAACAATAGAAACAAAAGAAAGAGAATTAAAGAGAAAACGAAAACTTAAAAAGGGTAAATATGCTATAAATTTTAAATTCTAATTTTTCTACTATTTGGACATTGTCATTAGGAATTTTCTTATAGAAACGAATATTTTCCTAATCAATTTTGTTGCCTTTTTAATAATTTTTTTTTCTTTCTCATTATTTTGATTTATATATTTTTTTTTTTCCTTTTTTTTAGTCTGATCCTTGTCGCTTGATCGTAATCGAACAAATGTGAAGTATTTTCACGTAGAACCGTTGATTTCTAACCGCATCATTTTTTTCTATTCTTGTAAAACCTGCCTGACCCTTAATAATAATAATAATAGTTTCACTGACTGTACACATTATAGACCAACAATAGAAGGTCTAGCGGCGCTTGGCGCGCTCCACGCATCACACATACATACGCGTGTACCTATATGCACACTTGCAAACCACATGCACAACATACACTCTTACGCGCGCGCGTACACACATACATAGGTGCAGAGGACACGCACATTGGCACACGCACACGCGCACACACACTATGCAAGCATGCATTCGCAAAACGTGTTACTAAGTTTTTTCTTTCCTTATCTAGCAAAAAGAAAGAAAAAGCTATATCAAATTGATCACTATTTACTTGTAATATTTAGCTCACGCTCGATAAATCTGCTATCAATCTCACTTTCCTTTCGTACCAACCTTCTCCTCTCTTCTCCTCTCCTTATGCTCTTCCCATATTTCTTCTCATATTTCTTCATCACCGTCTATTAAATGGGTTCCCTTAAATTTCTTCTCCATATTTCCACCATCATATTCATCTTTCTTCACTTTTATGCTATTACTTCTATTGTTTTTTTTATCTTTCACATACGCATGCTTCTTCCACGATCTCTATTCCATTTTACGTACACGCGTTCTAGCACATACACACAAAAAGTCGAATCGCATCATAATAAAATCGCAGGCTTCCGTGATTTTTCTTAATTAATACAAGCCATCACAATCCCAATGTCAACATCGCTGATCTTTGTATCACTTGGCAGTAAACAATGTGACAATGTAGTAGTACTTAGATTAGTGTATACATATACATATACATATATATATATACACACACGTACTATATAATATATACATATACGTATACGTATACATATTCATACATACATATATACATAATACATACAGATATATGTGTATATGTACATATGCATATGTATATACATGTATGTATATATATATATATGTATATTATAATAATAATAGTACGGGGTGGGTTGTTGGGTGGTCACTCCGATGTAGTAATTAGTCCCAGTGGCACATCACTGTATATATATATATATATATATATATTTTTCTATATATATGTATGTGTATATATATATATATATGTATGTATATATATATATATGTATGTATATATATATATACACACATATATATATATATATAGTCACGACGACAACAGCGGGCGATGGTGGTGAGGCCTAGTACGACGCTTCACGCGCTTTCTCATATTTGTTCGTTCATTTGATGATTGAATAGGCGTTAAAAATATTTGCAAATTGCCAAATTGATGATGATTGAAAGTAAATAGCATTATAAATTACGTAACCTCGTTCGATTCATCATTTCTCCGTTTATCTGTATTTTTATAAAAAAAACTTTTTTCCATTTCACTCTCCGTTTCCTTTTCAATTTTTTTTTTTTCGGGTTCCTTTTGCAATTATCTTCTTCCTTTGTTTTTGTTTTTTTTTTCCTTTCCAGTTCGCTTTTATTTATTTATTTATTTTTTTTTTCCACTTCGCTTCTTCCTCCTTGTGCATAAGGTCAACTCGAAATTGGTTGTTCATTATTTTGTTTTATTTACTTTGTTACTCTCGATCGATCGATCGTTCGTTCGTTCGTTCGTTCGTTCGTTCGTCATGCGTGATTGCGTGCGTACTTAAATGAGTGCGTGCGTGCGTATTCACTCACAGACTTGCAGAAGTTAGCTCCATGACTGGTAGGAGTCTTGGTACCATTCGTGATCATCGCTGGAAACACCGCCAAGAGTGGCGGTCCTACCTCCGAATCCTATGTCACCGCCGCCACCACCACCACTGCCACCATTCACACTCGCCAATCCGTACGCATTGCCCAGTGGTTGTTGGGCGAGGGGTTGGTTTCCCCAGTTGCTCTGGAAGCGACGCTTAGATTCCCCCTGGTTCTGGTGACCCCCGTCAAATTTTCGTTTACCTGCTGTACATAGAAAGAAAAAAAAAATATGTTTGTCACGTTAAATTTTCCACCATGTTCGGTCACGTCTCTCGTCCAACTCTCTTTTTCTGCAATTTCGGGCAATTTCACACACGCGCATACATACACGCATACACACACGGACGCACAAAGCAAGCTCACGTATCAATTATTTCGCTATCAGTCTAGTTGAACGGGGGTGGGGGGTTGGACACAGAAAAATAGTAAATTCGCTGCTTAATCGGCCGGTCCTTCGTAACAAAATTAGCATCATTTCTCGGATATATTAACGTATGTTTGTATGTATAGTGTGTATATAGTGTGTAAACGTTGAACGTGTATGATGGAAGAAACGTTGAAAAACAAGCAACAGAGGGGACTCGGGAATTGATTCGATGATACCAACCGAACGATATTCTGCATAGTGCTGTTGTTCGTTTCGATCGAAATCGACTAAAGAAGCTAAGGAAACGCCACTCAGAAGTCATAATGCTAATAAAAACGTTTTTCAACGATCGAAAGAGAACCGGTTTATAAGTCGATTCTTCTCTAATCTCAAGATTTGATTTACGAGACGAAAAGTGGTGAATCATTGAAGGCGAAGAAACTGTCCAATTGTTCATTGGAATAACAATTGAGAATGGATTTAAAGTTACGATTAGATTTTGTAGACGAAATAATCTGAAATTAGAGCATATTTTTTTTTTTTTTTTTTCTACTGATCGCAACGTTTATCGAAAAGAAATCAAAATATATAATACGATATTTGATGTATTTTATTATGTAACAACTGCACTTTTCACAATATTCAATCGATTGAGCATGACCACGTTTAAACGTAATATAAAAAGAAACCGGCCGAAAATTTAATAAAAAAAAAAAATGAAGCAAAGTAAAAGGAAAAAAAAAAAGATGTAGCCAACTGTTTATGATTTCAATGGACAGAGATATTAATTCGATTAAAGAACTTGATGTTCTTTTGAATATAACTCGAAACAAAATCAAAAACCGATACTATAAATTATATTATGGCACGCCTAATGAACGGATAACAATTTTGTTGGCTCATCGAACAAACTTAATTTTTCATCCAAATTATTTTGTATGCGTGACAACATTCCGCGGAAAACACAATCATACCAGGAAAAAAAAGAGATAGAAAGTAAGAAGAGAGAGAGAGAGAAAGAAAGAAAGAAAGAAAGAAAGAAGGGAAGGAAAAAAAAAACAGTCAACTGTAAAACGAAACAAAAGGAAAATAAATTAATAAATCGTACTAAAAAGTAAGCAAACTAAAAAGTAAAAATTGCCAAATTGCGCGTCGAAGTACTAATCAAATTCGATACGATAAACATAAAAAAATATTTATAGATTCTCACCGTGAGTGAATAAAAAATGATCGTTTGAAAGAATGAAATCTTTTTTTTTTTTTTTGCAAGAAGTAAAGAAAAGTGTANAAAAAAAAAAAAAAAAAAAAAAAAAAAAAAAAAAAAAAAAAAAAAAGAGAAAGCAGAGCAGAGAAAGTAAAAGGTGTGAAAAGTGGAGAGAACACTGGGTAAGTGTGTGTATACTGGGGATAAGCAGATGCAAAAGTGAAAAAAGTGTAAAAAAAGAAAAAAGAGTAGCGTATGAAAATAATGTTAAAAGATGATTGATTTATTGTGGAGATACAGACCATCCTCACCTGGTAAACTTCCCTTGGCGCGGACCCCCCCACGAGCGGACAGCCGCTGGACCCCACGAGCCCCTGAAGTTGCGGGGTTGCGTCCCCCCCTGACTGGCCCACGGACTTGGGGGCCACCGACTCGGCCACGCGGCACTACTCCACGGCCACGTCCAGCCTGACCAAATAACACAACACCCAATCGTTACCCTATATGATATTTATTAAATTCCTACAGTATAAATTTGCGTACACGATTCTATTTCATTTTTTTTTTTTTTTTTTTTTTTTTCTCTTAGATTTTTCGCTTTTCGATTTATTTTTATTTTTTTATTCTTTTATTTGTGTATCGCGAGTTGTGTATCAGAGTTCATTTTCACAGTATGAGCGTCTTTTGCTTTTGTTTATCACAAACCCCTTTTCTGTTTTTCTAATTAATTAATTAAGTTATTACAATCTCATATATATATGTATCGTTGACCTGTACTGTGACCTGTATTCACTTGTTTGTGTTTGCTCGTAAAAATTTCAACACCTCATCTCGCATTTTCATTATTTCGAACAAACGAAATACATAACGAATAATTCTTTTTCTTTCTGACGATTCAAAACAAACTTTGTTATAAAACAAAATATTAATTATTTTAGAAATTGATCCTCTCGTTATATACAATACATTTTATATATACCCACTAAATATAATTTATTATTATACAAGGTATTATATACAAAACACGTACACGTATACGTACACGTACAGATTAACTGATTAATGTATATATATATATAAAACTCGTACAAAATGACCGTATGTATGATGCACGCATTACAAGAATACAAATATGTATGTATGTACGTACGTGTGCATGGATGCAAGCATCTATATATGTATCTTATACGTATACGCATACGTATATACATGCAGATTATACATACAAAATTACGCGCGCACGGGATATGCGCGCGCTTAATGTGTCAATGTGTGTTTCACATGTGGAAGGGGATGCATTTAATGATCAAATAGTAGGAGTTGAGATGATATATGCGTTACACGAAAAGCGGAGATGAGATAGGACAGGATAAGAGAGACAGATGATGGGTTCTGGAAAAAGAGAGAAAGAGAGAACGAAAGAGAGAGCGAGAGAGAGAAAGAGAGAGAGAGAGCTAGGTAGGATATGAGAAAGGTACTTAATATGTATATATATATATATATCTGCGTGTATGTATACGTGTATGTGTGTGCGTATGTGTGAATGTAAGATATATGTACATATGTATGTATGTATGTATATATACAGATCAGTCAAATATACACATGGCATACAGAACGATGCAACGAACGTAGGAATCACCTAAAACCAAATATTACTAACCACATTTTTTTACAGACAGCAGTAGTATTAGCAGAATTATCCAATGCAGTAAAGCGGAAAGCTTATTGTATTGGGATGGCGAAGGAACTTTAAGCGACACAACATACTGCACTGTCAGCTAGAACAAAATTCAACAAATCAAGATTTAAATAGATATAAGCAGCGCGGTAAAAAGCATTACACAGCAGGGTAATTGTTTAAGCGTAAGCGGTATTTTTATACATCAAAAGCAAACAACAAACATCAAAATTTTATTGTCGATAAATTACTGGCAGGGACTAGTAGAGATCATCGTCATTGCTCTTCTTTTTTTTCCATCCTATTCCATCGAATAAATTGAAAATTGTAATCTTTTTAACAAATTTGCCTAATTAAAGTCAAGTTGTGATTTAATTGTGAATAAAAAAAAAATTCTAACACAAATCTAACACAAACGCATATACACAGATGCGCACGCACGTACAAATACAACGTAACATATCGTTATGATTTTCTTCTCGCTCTCTTCTATGTCAGAAATGTAGATTTTATTATATAACTTGTGTTACGTTATCTATAATCTTTTCTTTTTTTCTTTATCAATGTGTTTTCCTGTTTTTTTTCTAATTGTTACTCGTGTATGCAATAACGATCAATTAACTAGATTCGTTAACTATCAATAATTACATTCTCTTTGGTAATTTAATATTTAAAAAAAAAAAAAAAACAAATTTATATAATTTGATTGTGCAAAAAAGAAAATTATTTATAATAACTATAGAAAATATTAAATGATGCAAAGAAATTTATTAATTATTCTAGAATTGTAGATTTCATTATATTTTTCTTTTAATTTGAAAATTAAATTAATTTTAAGCAAAGTCTTAAATATCATGTTACAAAAAAATTGCAATTAATTTTAAGATAATTAAATACACGATATGAAATATGATTTATGAAATAAAATTTTCACCAATATATTGTAATATATTTTTAAATACGTAAATAATTTATCTGTTCTCAATTAAATATAAAAAAAAAATGCAAAAAAAAATTAAAATATATCCTATAAACAATTAAGCGTAGAAAATACTCTTTTAAATTAGATCAATTTAATTATCATCTTTCTTTATTTTATCACTAACGAAGAACATTCAAAAAAGAAGAAAAAATTCAATCCGCACAATATACATTTACATCCAGCTTCTCTCGAACAAATTTAATAAAATTAAATTAAAATCTTTTGAAGATTTATTGAAATATAACGAAAACATTAGCATCACGAAATGCATGATATGTAAAAGAGAGAAAAAAAAAAAGAAACGATTTAAACAAAGTAAACTATTTTAAACGTAACAATCAAGTCAACGATTCGTTAATCTACTTCTTAATGACAATACACAAGCATTTAACATCGATCGATTAATAATCGAAGAAATGAACGTCAATAATAAAAAGGATAATTCGAAGAAATTTTATAACTGATTCTACACCAACAAATCGACACTACCAAGGCATAAGGACATATCGTGTCGAAATAAATGCATATCGTACACGTTTGTCAAGTGGAAAAAGTGTCAAAAATGAAATATAATCGGTCCGTCAACAGTTATACAATTTGCCATTCAATCAATCAATCAATCAATCGGTCAACCGATTCAACGATTCAATCAAACAACTAATTAAATATTATGTCAATCTAATTGATCAATCTATGTGTATTTATCATTCTATCTAAATGTATATTTATCTATCCATCCATCCATCCATTCATTCACACATTCATTTATCCATCCGTTAATTTATACACATGTCTGTATTTATTGTATGTCTATTTATTTCCTATCTATCTAACTAATGATCTATCTATCTAATGATTTTTATTTATCTATCTATCTATCTATTTATTTGAACAATTTATTTTTGATTATCTATCTATTTACATATATATATATATTTATCTATCTGGTAATGAAATAATTAATCAGTCCGTCAAATTAATGTAATGATAGTACAGTTGTAATGATGTTTACAAGGTTATTGGGATAACCCTGCAACTTGGTATACAAATATATATACACATATATTTAAATTTACCATATCCGAGCCACGAGACTCAAACACCCTTCTCTCTGATAGGAGAAACTACGAACAGATTATTAAATGTGTCATGGACATAACCATTACTATTTACATATGCATAATCTATTTGTGCGCACAGCCAAGTGTTCATTTATATACATATACGCATACATGTACATACATAATACATATATACAAATATACATATATATATATATATATATATATATACATACATACATATGTATACATATATATATATATGTATATATATATATACACTTATGGTATACGTGGTGGAAAAAGTATAATAAGATAATTTTATGTACATAATTGGAATGTATAAACCAAACCAATTATTTGAAATTACAGATCAGGGAATTTGCATTAGTCGATATAAAATGATCATATATATATTCGATTGAAAAATTATCCAATTTCGTCAAGATGGTATATTAGTCAAAATACATATTGATATTGAAGTTTGAAATTTTTCGATTCTAATTATATTTGTTCCACCTTGTATATATTCGTATGTACATACATATACATATACATATATATTAAAATAAATTATAAATAGCACAGAGAAATTCTCATATATATTTTTACTTATACTTAGAATTTCTTTGAATATTGACAAAGAACACAAAGTGAAAAAATATACAAAGAAGACCTAAAGTATTATAAGTATTTACCTTCTTATTTTTTATCTTATTCTTTCTTATTTTTTCGTATAAAAAATATAAACATAAAGGAGAAATTTTTTCATTTCTTTATTACATATATTTCTATATATTCTCCTTTCCCTTATATATATATACACATATATATATATCATATCTTCTAATATTTTTCTTTCTTCTTTTCCGTTCCTCTCGTAATTTTCTACATTCTAATAGCTTTTCCCGGCTATATCGTTATTTTGAAATTTAGAATGGGTCTACCATGGCTCAGATATGATTAGCAAGCAATTTGAAAGTGGCAGTGTGTTCGACTTGTAGGATAAGACGTTAGTCTAAGCGATGGAATTAGTAGTAGATATGACAAATATGTAGGACACTCCACAATAGGACCCCCCTCCCTCTCATTACGCGCTCGAGTATGTCTCACATCTTTCTCTCTTTCCGGTCTTTATTATATATATGCGTCTCCTGAGTCTTATATCTATATTATCTGACAGATATTTAATCATCAATTTTGTTCCAATCTAATTTATTTTTCCTACCCTCGTGGAAAAAAATATCTCAAATGTGTCCACAAGCGCATTCCATTTTGATTATTCTTACAAAGCTTTACTAAATAAATAAATGCAGTGGTAGATCTATTACTTATTTTGTAATAAATGTTAAATTTGAATACAACTAGGATTTATGTTCACAATTTACCAAGACGAGCTAAGTATATGAATGGAAAAGTAAGTATAAATAAAAAAAATGTACATATAGAAATAGATGGGGAAAGTCTATAGCATGTAAACATATAATTATCCAAACGCACAAAGAATACAGACATACATTCACGCATTCATGACAGGTAGCACACGTGTCGTTGGTATAAAAAATAGGTACGTATATGGATTTGCACCGTTGAGCACTTTTTAAATTATAGATTCATGTCTTTCTGACCTTATACGTATATCGATAAAGTAAGAAGTTAATACACACTCTGAATTAAACGATAAAATGAGCAGGTTGTTGGAGAGAGAAAAGTGGATTATATAATGTAACTTGGGGTACATCCGCGAACACTGTGCCACAGTCAAATTACTGCTGATGTGTGTATATATGTATATATGTATACATACATATACATATATGTATGTACATACAGACACACACACATACATACATATAAATACTAAAGAAAGTAATAATGATTCAGTAACGGAAACGACTTTAGAACCATTAAAAAAGGCGACCCACCGGTTGAGGCTGCCTGCCTCTCCCTCTGGCAGGTGGCGGAGGCGGCGCGTAATCGAAATAGTAATCTTCGTATCGATAATAGTCATCGTAATATGGATCACTGTAGCCACCTCGATAATCCCCATAACCGTAATAGTCGTAATCATAATCTATAAAAACACACATTACAAATAGACCCAAATTTAGCCACGATATATCCAATTGACAACTTATTCAAAACTAATACTTGTGTTTCGTATAAGAAAGGGCATGCCGGGAAAAGATGGTTTTAAAAACTTTCAATAATAGGAAACAAAAAAAGAAAAAGAAAAAAAAATATATATATATACTTGTATAACGTTACAAATTATTGCGACTTTATTTCGCAATTGTATTGTAAAACGTATTTAATTAAAAAATCATCACGGAAACATATATTACTTTCACTATGTAACAACGATATTGCCAAAAAAAGAAACTCAATAATTACCCTACCACCATCACGTATCCTGATATAAACTTCACGCTCATTCGGATCATAGAAAATTGATAATCTCCTAATATTGCAATATCCTAGTCCAACCTCCTCTCTCTCGCTCTTTCACACACACACTCAATCACTTCTTTCCTTGCGGAATTGTTAACGATTCGAAATGATTCTCATTAATTTCTTTTTCTTCCTTTCTTATATAGGATTAATAACACATAAACGCACGTTATTGTTATTATACATTATAATATAATTATTGTAATAAAAAAAAAAAAATGGCGTGTTTTCTTGCAATTTTCGATGATCCGATATTAGCGTCTTTTCAACGTTGAATACATAATTCCAAAAGGGAAAAATACAAAACTCTACCAAATGGTACTCTACTACTTTCCACTCATAAATCAATGTCGCATCTTACCTATTTCCATGAGAGCTGAAACCAAATTTTTTAATTTATGATGCATACGAAATCAACAAAATACGCACACTTACATAAAAACGAAGTAAAACAAACAACATAAATAAAAAAAAAAAAAAAAAAAAATAGAGAAAAGAAAGGAAAGATTAAAATTTTCTTGGCTATGTGTACAATTGTACACCGCCACAAAATAAAAATCACTCGGGTATCATTATAGGTAAGTACAAAACAAACAATACACATGCATTTACTTTTTTGTGTGTGTGCATGTCAATGTGCGTCTGTTTGTCTGTCCTGTTTCATCAGTCTGCGCGTACAAGAGCACACATATATATTGTATACGTAATATATTTATAAATATATAAATATATAAATATATATATATATATATATATATATATATGTAGAATATGTGTGCAGTGTGCACGCGCGCGTGATATCAAGCCTCACAGGAAGTGGTAGTGGTAAGGCAATACTATGCTCATATTAAAATGCTAAGCCACACCTGACATACATATGTATAAACGTACATATGTATGGAAATTTTTATGTTTGTAACCTTCGTCCAAAATATTTTGTAAACCTGATTATTATATACTGTTCACGAAATTATGCATTGATAAAACAATAATTGCGGAAAAAAAAGAAGAAGAAATAAAGAAAAAAAAAAAGAGAGAGAAAGAAAAAAGAATGGGGAAAGAAAACGAACAACTGCATAACAATTGAAAATGTAATCATAATAGGCTCAGACCAAATTTAACTTAATAAAAAAATATTATATGAATGCAGCTATTCGATTTGATAAATAAAATAAAGAGATATTCCAGCTTCTAAACACTTTCTCACTACATTTTCTAATATGATAAATAATGAAACATGTGTAAGTTTGAATTTTTATAAATTCTTTGAAACTTATAAAAAATGTTAATTTAAAGAATAAATATCATTCTCCATATTTCTAAGAAAAAGAATTCATAATTGATCTTATTATATATAAAATAAAAAATACAAACTTTCGATATTTATTATATTTATATTTATATTATGTATCGTTAAATATGTTTATATTTCTGTAAATTTTTGTACATATATATTATGCATGTAAGTTAAAGTATGTAGTGAGATAGTGAAAAATCCCCAAAAGCATGCGGGATGTTTATGTTACATAACATTACCATAAGATATCGATATAAACGATTTAACAATGATTTGTGTTTATATAAATCTGAAAAATAAAATATTAACATTTTAAATCTATGGACAAAATCTCGCTAATAAATTTGATATCGTATAATTTTATGTTATCTTAACACCGATGTATTTGTTATCTAAGCAATTTATTAATATAATAACATTAAATAATTTATTTAAAATTGTATTAATTGTTCCATAAAATATAAAGAATAAATAATAATTTCATGTTGATTGAAAATTGTTAATAATTTTATGAAAAATTTGCAGAATTAAATATTTTTATAAAAAGATATGGTCTAAGCCTAAAGATAAATCGAATTAATCATAAGCAGAAACAAAAATGTTATTTTAATTGGAATAAAACGTGTTACATATACGTAATACACGTTATCTTTTTCTGTATGAAATATTATTAAAGGGGTGGCGAAATGCAATTAAAATGTTACATACAAATACATGTATATATATGTATATACGCGTGTATATATACTTAATACGGAATAAATCTAGAGAAATATCAACAAATACGACAAAAATAAAAACGGAGCGGTACTTACCATAATCGCCTCTTCCCATCTGTCCTCGCATACCTGCGCCGGTACCTCGAGGACCTTGACCTGGTCCTCGAACTGGCATTGGTCCTCCCATCATACTTGGATGCGATGGAGAACCCCTAAAAATAGAAAATATTATTATATGTAATTCAAAATAATAGTTGGAAAAACTAAATTAGGAATAAATGAATTAAAATTAAAAAATATATCCATATATAACACATATAACAGATATAACACACCCGCTTCTGCCCTGAAACATTTGCATCATTCTTCGCTCTCTAGCACGAAGCATCTCTTCCTTTTTCTTTTTATCAGATGGAGGTTTCGCGAGAGATACTTCAATGTGAGAACCACCAATCTCTTTTCCGTTTAATTCATTCATCGCCTAAAACACAAAATGATTTATTACAAAATACTTCAAAATTTGTTGACCAAATTATCTTTTGTGACATCATTTATGTGTAAAATGGGAGAATGTATGAATTTTGATAATATCGATAAAGTATAGTATAATTATCCGTTAAAAATATAGTAGAGTACCATTTGCTAAATAAATCGTCAAGTTAATATTATGTTGATGAGATTAGTTGATGAGATTTTATCGAAACTTACTTTCAAACTGGAAGATTAAACCAAGTACATAACACATCATTTAAACACAAATAATTAATGACGCATACACATTATCAATGATTATTTTACCTTAACAGCATTGTCTCTTTCTTCAAAGTGGACAAAAGCATAATCCTTGATCTTCTTCACTCTTTCAATATTACCATATTGTTCAAAACTTTCTTTCAATTTCTCTTCAGAACAATCTTGAGTCAAATTTTTCACATACAATACACGCACCTATAATAAATGATTCAATAAATAATCAATCTTATTAGTAGTTCTTGCTTTACTATATTAATTACTTACTTTAGACATAGTTTGTTCGTCGGGCTCTTCCTGAGGATCAGCCCAGTCAACTATGATATCACAGCCCCATACTTTGATGCGACCGGTACTTAATCTTCGTTTGGCTAAGGAAGCAGCTTTGTGAGATTCGTATTCTAAGAAGCAAAAACCTCTATTTTTCTTCTTGTCATCCGGAGAACTGTAGATAATCACCTCAGTCAGACCAGCTATATGACGAAAAATTACACAAAATGGATCAATAAAATTCAATGAGACATTTAATAGATAATTAAACAAATATATGTAAAGGTCTACGAATTAAGAAAGGAAATACAGAAAAACAAAAAAAGAAACAAAAAGAAAAAGAGAGGGAAGAAATAAAATGAGAAAAAAAAAAAAAAAAAATGAAAATAGATAAATGAATGAATTTCTTTGGGCTGTAATAGATATATATCATGAATATCTGAGAACAGATGACACAACTGAATGAAAGATTATTTTACATGCAATAATACATGAATGTATTATAAAAAAAAATTCAAAATCTTTTTGTTTGAAGCTTCGCTTGCAAAAAAAATTTAATTTGAAAATTAATTGATTCACTCTTAATTAAATAAGAATAATACAATTGGATGCAAAATTATTCTATAAGCAAAAATAAATAGAAAAAATAAAATAAAACATTTTTATTTAGCACCTTGTTTAATTTTTTTTTTTCCTTTCTCTAATATATAAAAAAAATTTGTAAAATCAATTTCCTCTCCCAGTTGCATCATTCGGCCTAAGATACCTTATCTATGTATATAGAAAATTTTATAATTAAAGAATATTTAAATTATTAAATTTCATTTCGTTTTAATGTATTGTTAACGTGTCCATTAAACATTCTTAATTATATATTAATTATATGTTGATTTAAAAGATATTTTGCAACAAAAAGGAAAAGAAACAGTAAATTAGAGAGAGAATTAGAGAGAGAAAGAGAGCGAGAACGACAGCAAGAGTGAGAGCAAGAGCGAACGAATGAGTGAGCGAGCGAGCGAGAGTGAGAGTGAGAGTGAGTGAGTGAGTGAGTGAGTGAGTGAGTGAGTGAGTAAGAGTGAAAGAGTGAGAGAGAAAGAGAGAGAAAGAGAGAGAAAAAGAGAAAGAAAGAGAAACAAAGAGAATGATGCGAAAAAAAATAGATAAATTTATCACCCAAATTATAAATTAAAATTTATATAAAATAGAAAAATGTTAAAAATAGCAAACTGTGCATTACTAAAAATTAAACTATATCAAGATTATATGAAGTTTAAGATAATTGACATGATCAAAAGAGGAAGTAATTTCTTTTAAATTAAAAATAACTATTTTTTTTTTCCTTAAAAAAATCGTTATTCTTATTCAATCTATATATTAAATTATTTTTTAATTTTCTAAAAATAAAATAAGAAAAATCAAAATAATAATAATGAAATTAGCAATCCTAAAGAATTATTGAGCTATCAAGCTACCAAGCTATGCTGCTATAATTAATCGATTTAAATTTATTTGAAATTAAATTATAAATTATTGTAATTTTCGAATAATATTTGAATAATAATAATATTAATTGTGATGATAAATGTATGATGAAATATGTGTTTCGCAATAAGTGATTTATTAACTATAAATCATTCTTGGCGGAAAATCTTTGAAATTCTTAAATTGACTTAACGAACTAATGTTTTTTTCCGTTTATATTTTTATGAACACGCATTATTCTCAAAATCCTTATTCTCATAAGTAAAAAATAAATTAGTCATTGAGAAAAAATTATCTATGAACAGTAATCTATAAAAGATTTTGAGAATGTAATAAATATGCAGTATCATATAGAGAATTATATAAAATCCTTACGTATAATATATATATATGTGTGTATGTGTGTGTATATATATATATACTCTTACGTATAATATATATATATACTATATATACTATATAATACGTATTATATATATATATATATAATGCGTGCCAATGTATATACGCGTAATGGAAAATGAGTTACTTTCTATAACTATAAGTTCGCAAACATCACTTTTTAGATAGACATTTGTCCATATCAATCTCCGTACACTCAAAACATAAATTACTTCGTATTATAATTTTAACAAATTTTTATTCGATTAACATGTAATTGTAAAATATACATATTAATACGCATATATTATACGCATATATCATTTGTAGTAATAAATAATCTGTAGTAACACGTACATGTTAATCTACATATCATGTATACCTGTATTTATATACGTGTATATACATACATGCGATTGTACATATACGTATATATATGCATGTATATATACAAATAAAAAACTAGTATTAAAAAAAAAAAAAAAAAAAAAAGAAAGAATAAAATGTAAAATTAAGAGAGGATTTTTCTATAATAGAAATAAATTTAAAAAAACATTTAAAACATTTCATAAAATAAAACGGATAGTTATATAATATCGCCAAATAAACATACCAACTAAAAAAGCAAGAATACCATAAAGAAATGTGTAAAAAAAGATAGAAAGAAAAAAAATATATGCTCGCAGTTTTATTCACAAATTATAAATGATATAAATGATAATAAAAGTTATATTCCAAATGCGAATGCAATAATCCGCTAATAATTTTTAATCTTTAAATTTTTGTAGATTTTAATAGTTTTAGTGCTTATTATTTGTTTGTTATTTAATTATAGAACAGAATAGTACAGTTAAAACTGAAAAATATATTATCATTAAATAAAATTGTCATGCTATTAGAGTTTTACATGCATTATAATGATTTATGAATATACAAAAGATTGATATTTCGTGAAATTTTTTTATGAATTTACATCATTAGTCAATTAATATTCATTTAAGTACGATTATTATCGTACTCCATACTACAAAGAAAAAAAAAAAGCATCTGCAAAAACAATCAAAAAATTGCTTTGCTCCTATAAATGTTCTTCATTAAATTATAATTATTATAATATATATATATTTTTTTTCAAAAATAGTTTTACTCTCCTTCCTCTCAGTTTAAAAGTTAACTTGCATGCGCAAGCATGCGTACACACACGCGCGGACACGCACACACTCTCTCTCGTGTTGTGTGTGTGTGTGTGTGTGTATGTGGTGTTTACAGATACGTATAGATGCATGTACATATGCATATGTATTCGTATGTACGTATATATACACGTTCATGTGCGTACGGACACGCGTGTGTGTACATATGTATGTGAATATGTATAATTGAATAGACAACACGGCATCTGATTAAAACGCACTTGATCTTAAAGCAATAAGACACACGTGCGTTATTTGTATACATTAAAGTAAATCAGTGAAGTAGAAAAAAATGAAAAAGTGAAACAGAATTAGAAAGTACGTGAGAAAGAGAAAGAGAAAGAGAAAGAGAAAGAGAGAAAGAGAGAGAGAGAGAGAGAGAGAGAGAGAGAGAGAGAGAGGGAGAAAGGGGTTAGAAGAATTCAGATGCCTTGTGACCTTTTTTTCCCATAAATTCTGATTATTTAACCTTATGCCTCCTGAATTCAACATTAACACTTTATTTTTTAATTTTTATCCGTTATCTCCTCTCTGAGTCCAGACTTAAATATTACATGCAAGAGTACTATGCAAACACACATATAATAAGAAATATAAGAGAACTATACACATTCATTCAATCACTCTGACCGATTTCATGTCCGTAACAAATACATTAGAGAAAATTTAGAACATATAAAATATTTTTCTATTGGATAAAATGCTATATTTTATTGTTTTCCTAATAGCAAAAGTATCCAATTATTATTTAAAAAGATTAACACATACACGTAGAATTTTTGCAAATGATACCGCGCATTATTATTATATATTTAATGTTTTCAATCATTTTTTATTTACTTAAATTTCTATAAATGTTTTTGCGTCCCAAAATCAATCAATCAGCACAAATAAAAAATTTCAAATTTATGGATTAATTGTATAACATAAATAATGGACAAACTTTGAAATGATGTTTTGAAAAAAAAAAATTTGAAAGGAAAAATAATAAACATTAAGAATGTCTTATCGAAAATAGTTAAATTCTATATGTATAATTATGACAGATAATAAATTAAATTTTATGACTGTGGGACACAATATAATACAAAAATTCGTTAATCAATTACAGCCAATGATTTATCCAAAAGTTAATAGAAAATAAAATATAATAAAATAATAAAGAATAAAGACTTATTTTTCAAAATGAAAAACTTTGATGATGTTTGTGGTGAAAATGTGTGCGGAATGTTTTATAGGTAACAAATTATATTCTACGACATATGTATCAATTTAATTTAAGGAAAAATCTGCCTACTTGATAATGATGCCAGAGGGCATTAAAAATTTACCCATCAAGCATTTCTAACTAAAAATCGAATAGAAACAGCCGATTGTTAAAAAATAAAAGTTTTGTCCCACCATTTTTTTCCCATAGAATTTCCTTTGGTTACTGCTTGCTGATTTAAGGACAATTATCAACTTACGTGCGTGCTTTGTAAATTCTTCGAACAAGTCATCTCGGTCTCGATTCTTTGGAATATTTCCCACAAACAAGCGATGATTGTTATAAGATACGGTAACACCAATCTTTTTCCCTTTCCGAATCTCATAATCATTCAGCTGTAAGAATAATGTGGAAGGAGAGTGCCAATTAAGCTTGCCTTTTACAATTTCACCTGCTTATTGGCTGTTCTGAACGTGGGATATCGTGAAGCGACCTTCAGGGAAATTATATATATCTTATACGAAGGAACAGGGCAAGCAAATTAATAAATGAATGTGAAAAAATAAACTGGAGTTAATTATCGTATACGGTCGGTGAATGGATGAATAGATATATAGAGGTAGATAGATAGTTATATTGATAGATAGATAGATAGATAGGTAAGTAGGTACAAAGGTAGATAGGTATATAAGTAGGTAGGAAAATAGGTAAATAGGTAGACAGATAGATAAGTTAAGTATATAAGATAAATAAATGAATAAAAAGATAAGTAGATAGGGAAACTGGTAAACAGAAATAAATATATAAATAGACAAGTTGATAAATAGAAATAGGTAGGTATTCATGGATTAATAGATAGTATTAGATGGGCAAATAGGTAGATCGATAGACAGAATAATTGATAAATAGAAATAGATGTATGGATAGCTAGGTAAGGTGATAGGTATAGTAGGTAAGTAGGTAGGTGGATGGGAGTGCCTGTCCGTTTGTTAGCGAGTCAAACGCCCCAGCGGTCCACGCATATCTCCCATACCCCCATGCTTGAGGTCCAGTTATGAATCGCGTTAACATGATGCAAAAACTGATAACAACCACGCAGGACAGCGCGCATTATATTTATTATTATCTCACTATATAATTTTAATAATTCTGCCATATTGAATTGCTTCCACATTTTCTCTTCTAATATACTTTGTCTCTCTTTATCCTTTTTATTATGTAGAAAAAAAAGAAGAAAAAATCAAACAAAAGAAACAGCAAAATAAGGAATTAAAAAATGAAAATAAAGTATAAAAGTATACGTTCAAATCGCCAAGAAGATCAAACTTCAAATGTCAAGATTAAGATTACTTGTGTAAGATTGTGTGTTTGCGCGTTTTAGTGTAATTGTGGTATTGTTCGCGTGTATGTTTGATAGCAAAAAACGAATGGTGTTGATCGTAGTGGTAGTAGTGATGGTTTGGTACCGATCATAAAATAATTGTGATCCTACAATGAAGATGCAACAGAACAACGATAATGATGGCGATAACGGTAAAACTATGATAATAAGAACGACAACGGTAATTGTGAAAACTAAAGGATAAAGGAACGCTATAAGGAGTAAAAGAAAAATTATTTGGGAGAAAAGAAAGGAAGTACATTAAATAAAAGTAGGAAGATATAACTCATAACTCAACCTAAATATGCGAGGAAAAGAAGACTTGGACCAGAGAGGTGTTACTGTTCACTAATAAACCGAGAGGCAAGGAGACTGATCAGAACTGAAGGTGACATAGGTAACTGTAAATCGCACGGTCGCGCGTACGATTGTGTTTATTTCTTGGATGCTCCAAAATTCCATACCATCTACAACCACTACTTAAAAGCTACCACTCGTAAGTTACAATACAGGTAGACAGGTAGGTATAGGTAGATAGGTAGGTACACACGCCTCGTATTCACTTTACCTGTTAATTTACCAAATTCCTCCAAGATCTCCTCTTTGCCTTTTGACTTTGGTATGTTCCCCACGAAAAGTCGTAGATTAGGAACGCTAATGTTTACTTTCAGATTCTTGCCGGGTTTTATTTCGTGATTATCGAGCTGTGGGATGAAGAAAACAAACACATGCCTCATATTGTTCCAATGATATACACTTCATATTTTATCTAATTGCGACAAACAAAAGAATTTAGGAAAGATTTTTCAAAATATGAAATTTAGTGAAATAATTAACATGGCCTGGTTCCATGAAAGCGAGAAAGTGGCATGCGCTTTGTCGCTCGAGTCTTCACAATATAGGAAACCGGCGTTCACGTATGTGCTCCTGTAAACAAATTTTAAACCTACCAATTTTCAAAATTTTGTTACAAAAATTGTCACTGTCCAACGAAAGTCAACCAATTAAGTAAATATACCCCTAACCAATTAAACCACACGAACTTCTTTTTTTCACATCGTCAATGTTTAGGAAAGTTCTCCACTCCCAATTTTGCCCACTGAGCAAAGAGGAGAGCTGGAAAAAGAAACTCATCCATAGGACATTATTATATACATGTATGTATTTATATACATACATGCATACATACATACGTACATACATACATACATACATACATACATCATACATACATACATACATACATACATACATACGTACGTATGTACGTACGTACGTACGTACGCATACACCTATGCGCGCGCGCGCTTATGATATGTGTGTGCGCGTATGTGTATATGTAAATGCGTACCTGTTCAAATGTATGTGTATATGTATATATATGTACAGAAAAATATGTATCTCTGCATGTATTCGCGTGCGCGCGCGCGTGTGCTTATACTGTTATACATATGTGCATTTATTTTCTCTCTCTGTTTTGCTGCTGTTAAGTATTTGGCATGTGTTGGGCATCATTATATATTTAAATATAAATTAGTGGTCAGGGACATATATGTATATGTATGAAACAAATATGTGGATTGTTCCTAACTAAAGACATTGAATGTCAAATTTTATTATTTTTTACCATTAGTAAAATAATGCTAAAACATTTGTGTTAAAACTACAATTTTAAAAATAAATAAATAAAAAAGAGAGAAGAAAAAAAAGAAAAAAAAAATAAAGAAAGAAAACGCAAGTCACAACATATAGAACAAGCCACATGGGAATATGAAAAAAATGTATTCGAAATGTTTAATGTAAGAAGAAAAAAGAAGAAAAGGAAAAAGAAGATGTTCTTATACCATCTTCAATTTGATGAGTCGATTAACGTTCATTTTGAAACAAATACCATAAACATAAATAAAAATAATTCAATAAAACAAGTTATAGAAACAGGAAGAAAGCAAAGAAATAAAACATGTGCAATAATGTATTTAAACATTTCGAAAATTTACTTATTTTGGTAGCAATAACAATTTTGTAACATTTCTAAAGTTTTTCTAAACAAAAGTGAAGGGAATTGATATATCCATAACAAGATGTTGTAAACTAGGATAACAGAATTTGTACGCTTCACAAACATGTACCTACATGATAGTAAAAATAATTCAAATAATATCTACATACCTCTCTAACAGCTTGTTGTGCTGCTTCCCTATTAGTAAAAGTGATAAAAGCATATCCTCTGTTACATCCTGCCATCGGATCCATCATTAATCTTAAATCCCAAATTTTTCCACATTTTTCAAACAAAGGAATTAATTCATCTTCATACATATCTTTTGGAATTTTTCCACAAAATACCTTTTAGGAGAAAAAAATATATAAAATAATATTAAAATATTAATAACTAATAAATACAAAAAAAATTATAAAAAAAAATATATAAAAAAAGTAGAGCTTGATAAATAAAAAAAATATATAAAAATAAATCATTGTTTTACCTCGCAACCAGTTCCGGGTGTAGGACCTTCCCAATTTGGAGGAGGACCTCCATATTTCCTCTGCCCTGTTGTTACATCCAAAGGATAACCAGTTCGTTCAAGAATCATCTAAGGCATTATAAACAATTTTATATCTTTTTTTATAATTTATGTAAGTTTATAAATAATTATAAATATAATTTATATTATAAATATCAAATTAATAAAATAAATATCTACCTTTATTTTGTCTTCATCTGGTGCTTTTGGAGTAGTACTGGTACCAGTACCTTGTCCAGCTCGACTTTTCTGTCTATAGGTTTTCATTACACCACAAAGATATGCAGATTTATTTGATACGTGTTCTAAATTAGATTCAAGAAATTGTGTGAGTACATTTAATGCACCATCAACAGGAAATTCCTTTAAAGCATCTAATGCTCTTTCATCCAAATCCACATGAGCTAATTTTCCTGTTTTATAAATTTCATCTAATTTTGCAGCTACTTTTTCATCTAATCCATATTGAATCAACTTTGAAAAATCTTCTGTTCTTTCTACATATTCCATTTCCTCCTTAGACTGTTTCTCTTCCATTTTTATTTCCCCATTTCCTTCTGCCATAGCTAAAACAAATTTTTATTTCCAAGACAACATCTTTGAGAAAACAAAAATTTTAATTATTTTATATTTTTATATTTATATAATTTAATTTAAAGTTTATGTCTTTTTAAATTATTATTAAAATAAAATATATTTAATATATTAAACTTTTTGCCCATTAAATATCTTAATTAACCCTTTGCGGTTATATTTTCATCAGATATAATATTATTATTATATTATTGTTATTATTATTGGAAATATTTATTAATAAAAATTATTTTTCAATAAAGCTATATACTTATTATACAATTTTATATAAATAATAATATTATATACTTATTATACAATTTTATATAAATAAGCAAATTTTTTTCTGTAAATTTTTACATATGTTTAACTCAATAATATTGAATTCAATTTTGTTATTAGTAATTATTTTAAATTAAATAAAATTTAATAAAAACTTATAAACTATTCTTCTAATTTTATATTGTATCATATATTTTTAAGCATTCTTCAATACAGTAGAAAATCTAATTTATATTGTATCAAAATAATTAATACTCACATAATTACTGATGATTTATTGCACTATCTAAGAATAAAAAAGAATCAAAGAATCAAATATTTTTAAAAATATAATTGTATTAATATTGTAAACAATAAGATAATTCTTAAACTTCAACACTTGTTTCAATAATAGAATGAAAAAATATCATATTTTATCAAAAATAATGCAAAAACCGATTTCAAGTTTTCACATTTATCACAATAATACTTAGTTCTTTATTTTAACTGAAAAAATAAAAGAGAGAAAAAAAAATAATTAAATAGAAATATATAACAAAAGATTAAAATAAAAATATACCGCAAAGGATTAAAATACAAAAAATCTTTCAAACAAAACTACATTATTATATTAGTGATTTTTAATTTTTTTATGTGGGCAATATCAATATTATTATATTGATTATATATCATTTATAATATCGATATTATATAATAGATTTAGTATTTAAATATTAGTTTTTTGCACAAATATTAAAATCTAATATTTTCTAAATTATAATTAAAAAATATTAAAAGCATTAAAATACTTCTTATTTTATATAAAGAAATATTATTTAATATGATATATATAATTTAAAAAATAAACAAATATTTATAAATAATTAGAATATTTAATCAGATATATTCATGAAAATTAAAAGAATCATAACAGTTTTTTTATTTAGTACTTAATATAAGATTTATAATTTGATATAATTTTATAATATTCAACATATAATATTATTTTCAAACTTTATATTCAGAATTTCCAACATCTATTATTCAAAATTTTTTTAACTAAAATATCATTCAAAAGATTAAAAATAAAGTATATTATATACAAAATAAAATGAAACATATATAAAAAGAATATATAAATAAATAATTTGAAATGGGAAAAAAAGAACTGGAAATAGAAATATAAAAATAATTATGAAAAAAAATGGAGTACATGAAATAGAAATGTAACGAACGTGATTAAAACTCGAACACAACTATTCAATATATAATGCATAGTACGTACAAGTTCCCGCGTTTACAAACAATTTTTATATTAAAACTTTTAAATGTTATCCATAGTTTTATAAATAAAAATTACAAGAAAATTTTTATGAATCATCAATGTATCATTGATAATATCGTATACCTACTCCTTAATTTGAAATATATAATAAAGAAGTCTCCATTATTGAACAATGCACTTTAAAATACGAGAATTTAATTATTATAATGAATTGTTTCAGAATAACGTATTTAATATATAAAATACAAAATTGTGCTTCAAGAGAAATGTAACTGCAATTTTTTGTGTAAAGCTTGCCGGCCGGCAATAGAGTTGCATCCATATTTCTTGAAGGATGCAATGCACTTTTACACTCGCGATAACATCACACCTGCTATTCTAACTAATGAATTTTTTATCGTGTTCATTAACGCATTATTAAAAAAGCACATTGATAAAAATTATTCACAATATTCATAACAAGAATAATTGCATATACCTTAGAAAGTAATCGAACAAAATCCTCCTGTGAGGAAATGGCGATAGACGTCAACGTGATTGCAGACTACGGGGTTCACAAAACGACGCGCAAAGATACGCTCGAACCCAGCGACACGAGTTAGCCATTTTCTTCTGAGGTATATTCGCGAATTCTGATTGGTTCGTGCAAAACGTTGAAAAGAAAAAGTTGACCATGCAATATGCACTCGTGAAATAACGAATTTCATACTTGAAATGTACATACACAATAGTATGTTAATTCTATAATACGCAAATTTAATCTAATCGTTATACTTGTTCAATGAATTATTTTCAATAATTACAAATATTTTTAATAAATATATTATCTACATATACAAAAAATTTAAAAGTATCAATAATAATTACATATCTATAATTTTTTTATATTTTTCTATTTTTTTTTTTTTTTACTTTTAGTAATAAAATTTAAACACAAATTAATTTATTTGAATTGTGAATTAAAAATTTTTATTATTAAAATAATAAGCTAATAATTTACCAAAAATATTATAACTACGCTCTTATAAAATATTGTAAAATAAATTTGTTTTTTGTTTCTATTTTATATTTTTCTTATATTACTTCTTTTGAATAATGAAACAATAAAAAAAATTAAATAAAATATGAAAACAGCGATCGCATAATTTTGTAATATTAAATTTCACAAAAAATAAATGATTGTATATAATTCTAATGCTACATTTATTTCATATTAATAAACTTATATTTAATATAATTTATACTTATAAAATATTATTTTTTAGGTTAGATTAAACAATAAAGAAAGAATAATTGATAAGAATACTAAGCAAATCAAATGCCATAACCTCCGAAATATAATTATACGGTAAAAATAATGTACCTGTATAAAATCTGAAATCTTCACAGTATTAATTTTGAACAAATTATAAAACGAAGCACCAAATATTACACACAAAATAGTCACAAGCTTTTAACCAATAAAAAATTCATGTTACAGATATCACCAATGTTAACACAAATATAAACTTGCATGTACTTTTCTTCACTTTCACGTTAAATCAAACTATATTCAAATGTATATTATAAATTGCATTCAACACTTGATTGTATTAGATAAAATATAATGCAGTGAATTTAGTCTTGTAGGCACTTGCAAAGTTTCGATAATATTGCAGTGATGGTGACGGTAAGTGAAGTAAGCCCGGGCGCAGCGTTTTGATATCATGTAGTGCCTACATAGCCGTAATGCATAAATTGGACTGTCTCGCTGAAAGAACGGTGCAGTGGTGCAAGCCCTACAAAACCAAACCAGTTTCCTCACTTGCTCGCTTGCTTGCTAGTTGCGCCCCAATCCAATCCGATTCAACCGCTTACCTCTCTTCGCGGTATATGCGAGCCCCGCCTTAGTCAGGCTCGTCGCAATTCTTTTCCGTTCCTGTATCATTCTTTCAATAATTTTTTATATTTTTTTCTTTTTTATTTTTTTTAATAAATATTTACATTTTTCTATAATATATTTAAATATTTTTATTGTAATTTATCTATATTTTTATTATCTTTATTTGTATTCTATATATCGTTATGTGTACAGTTACATATGTTATGTATATATTTATAACTAAATTATGATAAAAAAATTCAAAGAAATAATTTTAGAATAGCATTAAATTATATTTGATTAGCAATTACAATATTCGTGTCATTAATTATAAAACATTGAATATATTAAAAAATAATACATTAAAAATTGTACTGTTATTTTATTATAAAATATTATATACACAAATAAGAAAAAGAAAATTATATAATATGGAGAAGTTGATGTATCTCTAAAATGTATGAATATACTTGAATTAATAAACCAATATATATTCTATAAAATAAAATTACATAATATATGCATGTATATATAATATATACATAAATAAATAAATAATGTATAAATAAATAAATAAATATATATTAAATTTCAGTAGATTTTAAATATATACTTTTTTTTTCCTTTAATAAAATTATAATCATATGTTTTTACATATGATACAAATATTTTTATAAAATCTATATTTAATTAAAAAATTCTGCAATTTTTTTTATTTTAAAATTTAAAATGTTATATTAAATTTTTATATTGTTATGTTATATATTATACTATTATGTATTGATACTAATAGCATAAAGCATACAAATTTTTCTATTTTTAATTTTACAGATTCTTTTCCTAAAATAATTTTATATATGTATACATATATATATATATATATATATATATATATATATACGTAATTTTATTTACATAAAAAATGCTATTTCAATAATTTGAAATAAAATCATAAAAAATATAAAATTTTATATTAAATTTTTACATATTTAAAAAATTTATATTAAAATAAAATTGTACAATTTAAATTATTATTCTTTACTTAAGAAGGAATTAGATAGTTCCCATGAACATTTTCCTAATTATTACAAATAACGTTTTAGATAACAGAACAGAGTACAGACAACAAGATACGGTCCTGAATTCAACCGTAAACCGCCTGTCTGGTTGAGCACGCACCCGCGTCCCTCAAAGGAGAAGAAGCAACAAAGACAGATGGTGCTCGTATGTTCGCTCGCTGAAACCTGTTCCTTCAGAACTTTTCCGTTTTCTTAATTTTTATTCGTTCAAATTCTGTTTTCGTTAAAAATTATTATTTTATTCATAATCATAATTAAAACTATGCGTTAATGAATAAAATGTTGATAAATTAAACTTCACTTATTGTTATACTGTATATTTAAATATACATATTTCTTTTTCCTCTTGTTCCCTCTTCTTCTTTCATGTCTTTTTCTATCTCTCATTACTTAGCTGTCTGCACTCTCCACAGACAATGCATTTTTTGCTCGACTCTAGAGCCATTGTCGTGGGAGGTTGGAATTTTAACGTAGAAATGTTTGTAATTAAATTTATATATCTAAAAAAATTTAAAGATATTTAATAATTTTAATATCATTACTTAAGTATATTGTAACATAGAAGAGATATCTGAACAATAATTTGATGAAAAAAATTGTTACTATTTTTTACAATTATAATTATTAAAATATTTTTCACGAATATTTTTTTATATTTATTTTTACAAATATAAATTTGAAAAACTATTGCATAAAAAATATTTAATAATACTTTAAAATTATTTCCCACGTTGACATTGAAAATCTCGAACTGCTTGCAGACATCGTAAAGATTTTCTCAGGAACCAGAACAGTTGCATTAAAGCATGAGATGGACCCCCAGCTACTCTTCTCTCCAAAATACTTGTTTAGCTATGAGAAATTCTTCTTTTTTCACATGCCAAATAAATAGGGGTGAACCTGTATTCAGATAATGCTATAGCAAGCGGAATACTACAACTTGGGAGAGTTACTCTTAGAAGGGTCGATGGACCAAGATGTTATTTGAATTAACATAATAAAAAATATTTAAATGTCGTTTTATATTAAATTTTTATTTTAGTTTCTTATTTTTTATTTTATTTTGAAATTTTTTAAAAAATTTATTTTTTAAGAACTCTTTTTTTTTTTAACAAAATGTACAAATAACGCTTTATAGTTTAATAATTTATATTTATGATTTTTATCAAAATCTAAATATATTAAATGTGATATTTCAATAAATATACATATATACATATATACATTTTTTTTTATACTTAAAGTTTTCAAATAATGGCGGTTTAAAAGATGATATCGTTAACTTCAATGAAAGTTAACTCTAATTTAGTATAGAATTGATGACATCAGAACTCAGGCATTATATATATATATATCTAGTACTTAGTAACTTCCATAAAGCAGGCAAATAGAGATTTTGAAGTGAATTGAATATGGTATTTAATATTGATATAGTTCGATGTGAAATGTGAATGAATGTACGTGTATGTGACAAACAGAAAAGAATTTATTTCTTATTTTTTTATATTTTTTTTTCCTTATTGATATGACGATGAATCAATATAATACAATACCTATATAAAAATTTAGTATATTTATTAGAAGATGGAATTCATTAATTTTAAAATATATACGATAGTGATTATAAGCTTCTATTGTTTGGGCGTTGTCGGACAATATGAGTGGCAAGCTAGAGATGCTTTTGATGAAATCCGTTTAAAAATGGATAAGATTAATGAAGAAAATTGTCTTATTCAACATATCGGAGACCTCTATCTACCGAAAGATACAGTCTCTCATTTACCTGATATTAAAGATATTAATATCAATCCTGTATTTCCAAATCGAACTGCTTTACTTCATCTTCATAATATGGCTCTTAGTAGATCATTTTTTTGGAGTTACATTTTACAATCTCGATTCATACGTCCTGCTATCAATGATACTTATGATCCAGGCATGATGTATTATTTTTTATCAACAGTTGCTGATGTTTCTGCAAATTCACATATAAATGCTTCCGCTATATATTTTTCACCAAATATGTCTTATTCTTCATCATATAGAGGTTTTTTTAATAAAACTATGCCTAGATTTGCACCACGAACTTTTAGAGCTGATGATTTTAATGATCCTATACATTTAGAAAGAATATCCACAAGAAATACATTTAATGTGCAAGATCTTGGGGCATTTGCCAGTGGTAGTCTTGGTGAAGATTATACAACAGATTATTATCGTATAAATGAATGGTAAACAAAATTTAGATTATTAAAATTATGATTAGATAAGAAAAAGTTTTATAATTTATAAATTAAATATTAATAAATATTAATTCTATTATTATAGGTATAAGAAATGGTTACCAGATAATGTTGATAAAAGACATGACACTAAAATCACTTATCAAGTTGAAATTAGATATGCTAACAATACTAATGAAACATTTACATTTCATGGACCACCTGGTATTATAATAAAAATGATCAATTTAAATAATATAAAATTTTATATTATTAAAACTCTTTTTTTATTTTTTACAGGTGCAGATGAACATCCTGGTCCTGTAAAATGGACCAGACCTTATTATGATTGTGGGAGATCAAATCGATGGCTTGTGGCAGCAGTTGTGCCAATAGCAGATATATATCCAAGACATACAGGATTTAGACATATTGAATATCCAACGTATATTATTATTATATATTACAAGTTATATATTGAATTTTTTCTTATTTGAATTTTTCATTAAATTATATATCTTTATTATAGTTATACTGCCATATCAGTTATTGAAATGGATTTTGAAAGAATAGATATTAATCAATGTCCAAAAGGAAAAGGAAATAGTGGTCCCAATAGATTTGTAAATACTGCGAGATGTAAAACTGAAACTACTGAGGTATTAAATATAAAAATTATTATATATTTAATATTTTTTAAGAAAATTATCTTTTTTTAAATTTTAAATTACAATTAATTACAATTTAATTTAGTGTGAGCCATTACATGGCTGGGGTTTTAGAAGAGGTGGATATCAATGTAGATGTAAACCAGGCTTCAGATTACCAAATGTAGTACGGCGTCCATACCTAGGTGAAATTATAGAAAGAGCAACTCAAGAGCAATATTACAATGGATTTGATTGCTCTCGAATAGGATGTAAGTATTTATATATTTATTTTTTATAATTATTATTACTGTCATTATTGATGATTATTTATTATATTATATTATATTTTTATTTTTTCATTTCTTATAGGGATACATAAAATGCCTGTTGAATGGGAAAAGGCAAAACCTCATATTAGAGAAAAGTATTTAGAGCAATTTTATCACTACAGAAATTATTCTATTGGACCAGAAGCAATAAAATCTGAAAAAATTAATATAGATCAAATTCTTAAATTTATTTTAAGCATCAATTCAAAAACTTGCAATAGGTATGTCATAAAATATTCATTTTTTGATATTTTTCATTTTTTTATGTAATTCAGAAAGTAAAATATTGAAAAAAATTCATTAATATTTAATATTATAGTTACAAGCAAGAAGATTTAACATTACGCGGAGATATAAGTTTCGGTGCTAAAGAATTTTTTGAAAACGAAGCGAAAATGGCAACTAGATTGGCAAATTTTATTAGTGCATTTCTACAAATTTCTGATCCTCTTGAGGTTTATTCAGGTAAAAGAGTAGCTGATAGACCACTTACCGAAGATCAAATGATTGGAGAGACTTTAGCTTTAGTACTTGGAGATACCAAAATATATTCTGCTGAATTGCTTTGGGATCGAAATAAATTTACAAATAGAACATTTTTTGCTCCTTATGCCTATAAAACTCAATTAAATACTAAATTTAAGGTTGAAGATTTAGCTAGACATAATGATGCAGGTAGTATTTATTATTAAATAATATATATTATAATAATAAATTATTATAACATGTTCGTAATATTATCTTAATTATTTGTTTTTATTTTATAGATAATATTTATACAAAAAAGAATTATTTTCAATTGTTGAAACAAAGATGGGCAACAAATTTTGATGAACTAGAAAAATATTATATGAAAATAAAAATAAGATTTAATGAAACCGGTGAATATCTTAAAAAATATGAGCATTATCCTAATTTTTATAGGTAAGATAATAATTTTTATGAAATTTTTTTATATAAAAAAGAATTATTTAAAAAAAATAAAAAAAGTGGAAAGGAAAACTATATAGTTCAATTAGAAAAATTTTATATCTAATATAAAAAAAATTGATTTTGGAAATAGAATTTATTTTAATGTGAGAATATTCATTCATTTATATAGAGCAGCAAATTTGAATCATGGCCATTGGACAAGTCCTTACTTTGATTGCAACGGTAAAGTAAAGAAATGGGTAATTACCTATGCATCCCCGTTTTTTGGCTTGGACAGCTTGAAAGAGAAACTGGAATTCAAGTAAGTATTTCTATCCATATGGACAACTGAATAAGGTATAGCATATGCATGAGAAATCGAATGTGAGATTGTTCATAAGGATAGAAAACCTGTTTTAATTCTAAAGAAAAAAAAATCAAAAAAGAAAGATCACATTTTATATTAAAATCCTTATTGAGATATATTATGAGATATAATATATTATAGAGGTATTGTAGCTGTTACTATGGATCTACTTCAACTCGATATTAATCAATGCGACGATGTGTTTTACGCTCCAAATGCATTTAAGGGTACACATAAGTGTGATCAAAAAACTTCATATGTAAGACATTAAATTCTATTATATTAATTAATATTATTGCTATAATTTTAATAATATATAATAAAAATTATTCCTATAATTTTAATATATTAATATAATTATAATAATATATTAATTATAATATATCTAATATGTATAAGAATATGAATAATTATCATTATGTTAATATATTATATGTATATATATATATATAGTGTGTGCCTATTCTCGGAAGAGGTTTCGAGACAGGCGGATATAAGTGTGAGTGTAAACAAGGTTTTGAATATCCATTTGAAGACTTAATTACATATTATGATGGTCAATTAGTAGAAGCTGAATTTAATAATTTAATTAACGATCAAAAAACTAGGTAATTAATATTATAAATTAATATAACAATAATTTTAAAATATATAATAATTCTCATATCATATTATAACTAATAATTTAACACAAATACTTATTTTTACAGATACGATATGTTTAAATGTCGATTAGCTACTGCCTCATCAATTCAAGTCAATTGGATATTATTACTTATATCGACAATATTTTGTTATTTTATAGTATGCAAATGACTCGTAATAATATTATAATAATACGAATTTTATATGCATTTATATAGTTCATATATATTCATTAAGATAGAGTTTTATGAATACAATCCGTCCATTATTAATATTATTTAAGCAAATAGTAAATATAGTAAATATATTATAATATAATATTAATAAAAACAATAAATGTAAAAATATTATATTTTTAAAATACTTTACTATTTGCTTGTTATTATTGTTATTATTAATTTATAAAACATAATATTTACAATAAAATGAGATTTTGTAAAATTATTTCCAAATAATTTTATTAAATAAATATATGAATATTATATATAAATAAATAGGAAATTATTATTTTTAAAAATTATTTAATTTTAAACAATATATTTCTGATGTTACATATTTTAATTACATTGAAATATATATTTATTATATTTTATTTAATATGCATGATTTATAGTACATTTAAAAATAAATTGTGAAAGTTGTATGTATATTATTATAACTTATTTTAAAATTTTTATTATTTTATATTTCATTTTATAATAATACATTGTAAAAATTACAATCTTGTTTTTATAAATTTGTTATTTTATTTTATTTTTCATAAATAATACAAATTAAAATAACGAATGAATATCATAATGATACAATACATGATTAATCTTATAATTATATATAATAAATATTTGATGTTAATATTTTATATATTTACTAATAAATAATTTACTTTTAACTACAATTTAATTGCAATTGTAATTTATATATATATATATTTATTATATATATATATATTATTTATATATATTATATATATATATTTATTATATTTATTATCGATAAATTACAAAAATTTTTATTTTTATTTGATACTTAATTTTCAAATAATAAATTAATTTTAAAAATATGTTACTATTACCATATATTATTATTTTCTGTATTTTAATTATGTAAAATTAACAAAAATGAATCATAATGAAGAAAAAATAAAAAAAAAATTATATTAAGTGAATAATAAATGGAAAATTAAATAATTACAAACACTGATATTTTTACAAGTATCTATTTTATCAATCATTATTTATCTTTATTTACATAATGATATTTAATAAATCTAAAACCTTGAGTCATTTGTGCTCCTTCATTCACAAAATGACAGGCAAAAAGAAGTAAATTGCGTGGTTCAACTCTTAGAGCAAAACGCATGAACATTGCTGAATATAAGCATAAAGCTGAAAAAAATTAATATATCTTATAAATTTTAATTTATCTTTATAGTTTTGAAAAGTTCAGCAATCCATAGCATGTATATATATATATGTATATTGAGAATTAAAATAAAAGATTTGTTAATATTCATTAAAATAATTTTATATTTAATAATTTTTATTATAATATATAACTATATTTTTAAATAATGAATTAATATTTTGAATTTATCTAAATGTAATGAAAGAATATATACATGAAAATGTATATTATTATTTTATTCTTTTTGCTGAATTTTTATCATTATGCGATACATATGATACAAGTATAAAAAAAATTATAAGATTTATAATAAAATGTAACAGAATCTTTATATATATCGTAATTTTACTTATCTTTATATGCATGTATAAAATTTTAATGATTATTCAATTTATATTAGAAAAAAAGAAAGTAGATAAACTAACCAAACGTCATTTTTCCACTAATATATTTCGGATCTCTTTGTATATCAGCGATTGCTGCGATTGGAATACCCCAATTAGCTATAGGTCCCCAAAAATGTGTACTGAAACAAAAGAAACAATAATGAAATCCATTCTGATTAAATAATATACTAAATCGAAATAATATACTAAGTAACAGAATTTACACGTATATAAACTCTATCTATATTTAAATTCCACATTGCTTACCTCATTAAATAATCTCGAGTTTCTTTACTCGATAGCAATTTTTTTACACGATTCATATTGCAATAATTTGTTCTTTTTCTTCTTTTTTCACTTTCTTTTAATAATTAAATTTACTCTTAGACTAAATCGAACTACATACATAAACTCGAATGAAACAATTTCGAAAGAATAAGAGACATCAATCTGGTTATATAAACGATTAACATAATGAATTCATATATTAACAGAAAATTATTTCATAAGAGCTTTAAATCTGACCATGTAATCTCGATGTCAAGAAAAATAAAAGTTGATTTTTTTATCTTTATGCAAATTTTGTTTAGTTCACTTTGATTATACAATGAATAAAGGAAATTAATTTTATAATTAATTTGCATTAAATTATTTAATTATCGAAAATGTATAATTTCCATCATTTAAATTATTTCTTATATAATAATATGATGATATAAATAAATAGTATGATTATTATTTAATTTTAATTTCATAATATTATAATTATTTAAGAATAAGACTATAAATTAGGAATTTTCTTTAGGATATGAGAAATAAATTAAATAACAATTAAGCATTAAACCTATTTTTAATTTAGAATAATTATTCAAAAAATATATACAAAGTTTATATATAATATATTATACTAGCTTATAAAATTAACTTTCTTCTTTTCTAACTTTTTTCATATAATTACAAAGCAAAAGAAGATGTTACAAAATGTACAACTATAATTCAGAATCGCTTTCTTATAATATGCAAATTAACAGATCTATATATTTTATTGTAATTGCAATGTAATTTATGATATATATCAATAATACAAAATTTTGTATTTTTCAATTACGCTATAATTTGTTAGCTGAGCTGTTCTTAATTTAGCATGTATGAAACCAATGAGTTTTATTTTATAGCTACAAAGATAGCATACAGAAGTAAATTATTATATACATATATATTTCATAATATAAGAATATTTTTGTCAATATATATAATAAGAGGTACTTGTCGCTCGTTAAATGTTTAACACATCACGTGTTCATAAAATACAAATACTTTTTTTTTTCATATACATATTTCTATTGGCGCTAAAAAAAAATAATGTTATTATAATGACGCTTTTTAAGAATTATAATCTGTATTAAATAATGTATGTTGATGTATAAACAATTATAATAACAAGTTTCATTTTAAATTGCAATATTTACTTATATTATAAAGACCATTTTTTATTTTTTTTTCTTTGCTGTAATTATTCAGCATGTTAAAGGAATTATTTAAAAAAATATCAATTGTCTTATATCAATAATAAAAATATCATTTCACTTTATCTATTTTATGATGCAATATGTATCATGGTACATATTCAGATAAATGTGTAGAAATTTATTTTAACAATCGAGCAACGGATACATACATGATGAACGATATTTTTTTCGCATATTCATATTTCACATTCGCATATTTTATATTCTTAATTGATCATTTGTAGTTTAAAATAAAAAAACATTAATACTTGTTGAATGTTTATATTAAGAACGTATGGACTGAAGTGTATGTTAGCATGTCACTCATTCACATGCATTTATAAACTAAAGATATAAACATGCAAAAATATGTATACATAAAGTAAAATTAGCAATCGTAGACTGGGAATTGGGGTTACTTTCATGATAATAAGAGTAAATCCCTTTGGTATTCATTATTTGTCAAATGTGATGTAACACAATATTCGATTCTTTTCACCCAGCAATGACATATATTCCATAAGTTTTTTTGTACAATTAAAATAAATATGAATAGTTTTTATATTTCAATAATTGCAAGTTGCAAAATATTAATTTAAATGCATCATATAAAATAATGCACGTATAAAATTAGAATTTTCCTTTTTTTCATTTGTTACAAATCGATATTTATAATTTTAATAAATGATAGAGAGAGAAAGAGAGAGAGAGAGAGAGAGAGAGAGAGAGAGAGAGAGAGAGAGAGAGAGAGAGGAAATTAGTTTTTAGAACATATAGAATTTTTAAAAATATAAGAATGCATAAGAAAAAAATATTAGAATGCATAGAATATTCAAAATTATTTTTAAGAAATAAAAAATATTAAAAATTTTTATTCTTTTTTAATTTATGATTAATTCTTCTTTTTCTTTGCATTACGTACGATTCTTTTATACAATTCTCAAAATGAATAATAGTATGAAATATGTATATAAATATTTATCTCTTGTAACTGTTAATATAGGATTATTTATCATATACATATTATCATATTTATTTATCATGTTTTATCATATTAATTTTTTCTTCTTACATGAAACTTATTTTTCCTTTGGTACATATAGCATACATTAAGTATTATAATTTAAAAATAATTATTTCATTTAATTTCAGAATTTGAAATAAAACATTTAATACGAAATAGATAAAAAACAAAATTATTTATGGATTTAAAAAAGTTTTAGATTAATCTTAGATAATAAATTTTTTTAGATTATGATTAATATTGCTATTATTTTATTTATTAATTTAATATTTCTACATTTATTAATTTTTATTTATTTATTTCAATTTCAATTAATTACAAAAGGAAAAAAAAAGTTTCTGTTTTTTATATGAATACATTATTAACAAGTTAATACATGCAAAAAAAGTTATTTTTACGTTACTTTGTATACAATACATATAATCAAACAATAATGCAGTATTTATTTCTTTGTCAATAGTTAAATATTTAATTTTTAATCCTTATAATAATTACTTTAAAATATTATTTTGAATTTAATTAATTAATTGATTTGTTGTGTATTTTTATGAATAACTTATTGAAACTAAATTATATTATCAAATTTGTAAATTGTTACATCTTTTTTAATTAATTATTTCACAAAATATATACGAAATGGTAATAAATCAATAAAAATTTCTTAAGCTTAAAATTATTCAAAGAACACAAAAAATGACTGAGTAGGGAAAAAAAGAGAAAAAAAGAAGAGAAAAAGAAAGATATGTTTGACCAATAACAGCTGCATAATATATGCAATGAACACATTACATTCATTCAAAAATTTATATAGTAACAGTTAATATTAATTATTTATATTTGTTATTATTAATTGTTCAATGTAAAAAAAAAAAAAAAGAAGTTAAATAAGACCAATAGGTTCAAAATCGCATTATTCTAATTATTTGCAATATCACAGTACTTGCTGAAACATACAAATACACGTTTCCGATAGGTACAAGAGCCAATACCAAAATGGCAAGCACAATATTTTTTTTTTAATAAACATATATATTATCTAGCCATCGATCGCTTTCTTTCTTTTTTCTTAATTTGTAATCATCACAAAAATTCGTAGTTATTATATTCAAAACATGATATATCTTATCAAAAATTAATTCCATATCTTTCTTAAAAATTTTTTTGTATTTTTTTTGTTTTTTATAATATTTTATAAAGAATTTAATAATTCCACTTCATATTCTTAAAATTTTTCACATTATATTATAATAAAAAAAAAATTTATAAAAATTATATTGCAAGAAAATGTGATAAATGCCCATAAATTTAAATTTTATAATTATAAATAATTTCATCTTCGAACTAATATCGTAGTTCTAATAGTTTTCAATTAGGAAAACTTGTTTTTCCAAAAAAGAGCGATAACTTAACGATGTTGCGAGTAAAACAAAAGAGAAAGGAAAAGAAATATAAAAGAACAGAAAAGAAAAAACAAATTAGAAAACAAATTAGAAAAAAAAACGAGTATGATATGTTATCGAAATTAAGGAACAAACGCGAGGGTTTTTGTTTTACGACTAATCATTATTCTTTTCTTTTTCTTATGTAAAACAACGTAATGTATGCTACGTACATACATGGATTTATATGTACGCGCGCGCGCATATGTATTCATCCAATCTTCCCATATATGCACATGCACACGCATACGCGTGTGCGCGCACGCATACATGATAACGATTTAAGAAAAATTTTTATAATTCATATTATCCTAACTATTTGTCGATCCAGAAGAAATTCTTTCGGATAATATTTACAAATATAATTTTTTTGTAATAAAACATACGAAAGATTCCATTATCATCGACTTGGCGAATACAAAAAATTCTAAAGCTATTGTCATACATAAACTGGACCTTGATTGTCATTATCGTCCAAACTTATTCGACTAGGATATGCAGGACCTCCACCATCGTCAAAGAAACGTCTAAAGGTAAATTCAAAGAAACCATGAAATGGTTTACCATTATCTAATAATTCATCGGATTTATTAGAATCGGACGATTCTGAATTTCGTAATTTATCAGGATCCACGGGATCAAAATTACTTGTATCCGTAGGATATTGTATCCGAGGTATGTGAGGAGCTACTTGCCGTCGTAGTCCCTTTTCAAAATCGATGTTCGCAAAAAATGGATGATTCTTTACTTCATCTGCGTTCTTACCTAACCGACGATCTGCACCAACACATAACTTTAATATTAAATCCATACCTTCTGCGGAAAGATTCGCTTGTTTAGGGATATGCAAAGTCGTTTCCCAATTGATTACCTGCGATACAATATATTTCAATACTGTATATAAATTATGTTTCATAATAAAGTAATAAATTAATAAGCATTAAACTTACTTTATATTGGGTTTCAGCTGGAGTATTAGCAAGAAATGGTGGAGAACCAACTAACATTTCATACAAAATCACACCAACACTCCACCAATCACACAATTGAGTGTATCCTGTCCTTTGTAGTACTTCTGGTGCAATATAATTTGGTGTTCCAACCAAGGAATGAGCTAAGCATCTTTGATGTTCTCTATGTCTTCTACGTTCCAATGGTTTTAATTGGATACAACGACATTCATTATTCCAATCGTCAGCAGGATCCATTGAATCTTGTTTTCCATGTCCTGTTTTAATAACAACATCNTATATATATAATACATATATAGAACTTGAGAATAAATCAATCATGGACACATACCATTTTGTTGATAATATTTAGAATTATGAGTCCAACGAAATCCTGTACATAGACCAAAATCTGTTAATTTTATGTGTCCATCTCGATCAATTAAAATATTGTCTGGTTTAATGTCTCTATGAATAAAACCCATTTTATGAACACTTTCTACAGCGCACGTTAATTCAGCAATATAAAATCTTGCCAGAGGTTCCTTAAAAATGCCAAATTTGA